TAACGATGCGATACCTTGGTGTCGGCTATGTGGATCATGTCGTCGTCAATGTAAAAGTCCAGCTAGAAGAAGGAAACAAAAGTTAACTACCTTTCACCAACAGTTTAGATAACTACTCACCTCAGAACCCGACTTGAAGGTGCCCTCCAGGCCACTGGGTCCCTTGCTCCACACCAGGTTGCGCATCTTGTGCTTGAAGCAGAGCAGGCGGATCAGCAGCTTCGACACGTCATCTTCGCTGGCATTGGGATCGATGAAGGAAGCCAGCTTGGCCAGTGGCAGGGTGGTGTACAGCTTTAGATACGAACGCGTCGTGGGCAAATCCTTCTGCTGGCGCACCTCATCCATGAACACCAGCAATTGGTGCTCCATGGGGTCCTTCACGTAGTCCTCCATCGGCGCATCAGCGGCCGGGGGGCAGGGGCTCACAAATCGGGGACAGGCGAATCCAAAGAACGATTTGAACACATCCAGATCGCCGCACTGCATCTTGAACATGGCGTCGTGGTAGTTCTTCTCGCGGAGCACCTGCTGGATGGACTCGTCAATGCACTGGGGATGCAGCACCAGGCAGATGGCCAACAAGTGATACATCTGCTCAGCCTGCTTGTTGATCTGGTCGTTTTGGTACGAGCGCGTGCTGTATAGCTGCTTGGTGCGCTGGATGTACAGCAGGATGTCCGAGAAGGTGCGGATGGCGTCGGCATAGCGGCGCATCATCATGTAGGCGAAGCCCACGTAGTAGGAAGTGGAGATCTGGCAGGCGGGGATGTGCGAATAGGCGGACTTCTTGTGGATCTCGATGGGCTCCAGCACCTTGATGGCCTGGTAGTAGTCTCCCAGCAACGAGTGCACGCGCAGCAGGCCCACGAGGGAGAAGTAGCCCAGCATCTTGTAGAAGGAGAGCTTGCCAAAGTCTCCGGCCACGGTCTGGGGATCCACGCCCTGGGAGATGGCCTCCAGCTGCTTCTTGATGTTCGAAATGTCCACCAGGGAGTGCAGCACATTGAGGATGCAGAGAATACTCCACACGTTGCTGTGGTTCACACACAGCTGCTGGATCTCGTCCTCCGTTTTGTCCGTAAGACGGGCCCTGCAAAAAGCTCACGTTCAGCGAAGATCACGGGGTATATACACAAACTACTCACCGATATTGCGCAAAGTTCTGAAACTGGTAAACAAACTCATCGACGAGCTCCCACAGCCAGATGTCGGGCAGCTCCAGCATCACCGGGTTCTGGGCCGAGATGATAAGGTTGAAGAAGTCGCAGTAGTTGAAGAACGAGTTGATGCGCTGCTCCAGCTTAGGGCCACCCTGGATGCGGGCGTGGATGTGGCGGTAGTACAGCTCCTTGTACAGGATCAGAAAGACCTTGTCGTTGTCCACGATGGCGGCCACCTCCTGCTCCTCCGGCCAGGCGGTCTTGTCAAAGTGGTGGTCGCTGATCTGCGGGAACGTGTTCTCGTACATGTTCTGGATGTCGTACAGATTGCCCTCCTTGATCGCCTGGCAGAAGTTGATGAGGAAGTACTTGACGTTGTCCGGCATCCGGCTGGCGTAGTAGTTGCGCTCATACTCCATGTCCAGCTGCGGGTCCCCGGTGTGCGCGAAGTCATCGTAGTAGTCCTGCAATCCGGCAATTTCAATGAGTTTTAATATTTTACATTTGGTAGGGGCAGAAAAGTTGGGTTATGTTGTCGGTGCGGCATCAGCTCGGGTCTGCGGGCTCCCCGGAATCCTGGCACTCACCGAATTGGGTGGGTATTCGTCTCCGCCGTACATTGTCGCTGTTTTATCTTCTCCTGGTGTACACGAAACGAAAAGGCAATCAAAATCCCGAAGAATCTGACAACACGCCAACAAATTTTTGGCGAAAAGAGAATAATCGATATATTATATATTCGATATTATTTTTTGAGGCCTTTTTTACATTCAGGCCACGGGCACACTGGTAGAAAGAGAAAAGAGGGTTAGGGATGTGAGAAATATATAAAATATCGTTATATCACTATTTTATAGAAAGTACATTTATATTCTTGATATTTGGCCGAAATATCTGAATATCGTCCTTTTATTACGTATTACAATTCCAATTTTAATAAAAACAATAACAAAACACTTAAACTTTATTGAATATTTACTGGGTTGTATCGTGACATTTTTGGTCTCGAAAATGGAGTAATCCTATTTTGGCCTTCGTTCAGATATTTCTTCTATATTTAAGAATTTGTAGGTTCTAAATTCAAGATTTTTTATTCAATACAGACTATTCTTAATAATGAATCACAAAAAATCGCGATTGAAACTGTTTTAAATGAAGTTAAAAAACTATTAGCGAATGAATGACGGAATTACTGAAAATATCGGTAAATTATCGCGATTAAATTTTAAACATTCTTAATACTAAGATATATTACGATTTTAATTTAAAATCTTTAAACTTGATTTTTTATCAGTGTTCTCGATTATTATTGTTTAAAATAAGTAGGACCAGTCTCATTCAAATTATTTGTTGGGATTTTTGAGTTCTTGTCTTTTTTCATCATTCAAGCCACGGGCACACTGGAAGCGAGACGGAACGAGACGTGTGTGTCATCCGCGTTAATTATTTTGTTTAATTCAAATAAACTCTGGCGAAGTGGGCGTGAGCTGGCGGAGTCGTAGTGCAACAGGGCGTTTTAGCTAAAACAGTGAAGCCCGAATTACAACAAACGCGCATCGTGAAATAGAAGAACGAAGCCAACAGCTTGGACTTGACGCGTTGCCATAAACCATCAACTTTTTACGGCAATTTTCCAGCCCGAAAAGTGCATTTTTGTGAAGCATTTCCCGGAAAGCGGATATAAATGTGTTTATAAATCGGTTCCCCGGAAGTTTTCGATATAAAGCCTGCAAGATGAGGCTTCCCAGGAGCAGTTCGAAAACGGCATTGGCTTCGCTTCAGTTTGGATTACTTTGCCTCCTATTGCTGGCCAATAACGGCATAAGATCCGTGCAAGCAGGTAAATATGGTGTTATAACTTGAAAAGCCAAAGAATTCGGTTGATTTCCGTAAAATTTTATTGAGAAAATGTGACATAAAACGATGATTGTTTGTAAGCCAGATTTTGGGCGTGTTCCCCAAAGCTGAAGACTCTCCTCCATTCCCTCTTGCTCCGTGCTTCGCTTTAACTCGCTCTTTCCGATCGCGAGAGAGCGCCCGAAAGAGAGGGGCGCGAGCGATCCAAACGTTGCTTACGAACAGCGGTGGCAAAACAAACACGACGACTAACAACGCCCGTTTTCTTCTCGCTTCTTTTTGAGCTGTACTTGTGCTTTAATTGTTTCTGTTTTTTACGGCGGAACCCAAGGGAATAATGTCGCCGGGCTTCAAGCATTTGCCGGCCGCATCCCTGCAATCCGTAATTGTGCGGCACTTTAACTGCGCATGCGGCGGAAAAAGCATCGGCTGATTTATGATGCTGCCGGAGCACGTGTTCTATCATCTTTCCATATGTCAACAGAGTTAAGCTGCTTGTTTTGCAGATAGTAACCCTTTTTCCCGGATAATTTTCATTTCAAAACTAAATTGGGGACCAGATATCTAGATATCTTTAGTCGAAACCCATCCCAGCAACCCTTTATATAATTTCTGTGTTTCAAAAGCTTAAGAATTTCCCGTTTTATTGCGTCCATATGTCAACGAACTGAACTTATTTTTGCTTCCCGATTCTATGTTTTAGTAGTCTGAAAACAAACAATCCAGCGTTAATATGCAAACATTTTTATGACTAAAAATAAACAACTGCCCACAATTAATTCGCCACTTTCACGCCTTGGAGCGTCAAGAGCAGACAACAGCCATATATCCCACATTGATAATTTATTTCTGTACTTATTGGCCCGAAAATGGCATCATTCGCACCTCGAGTTTCCCCAGATCAGCGGAAATGGCCTTTCGAGCCCCGTCATATTTGTTTCATGGAGAACATTAGCCAGATTTTCCATTTTATTCAGCACCATTTATTGGGCAATTATGTAGAGGAAAAGTAGTTCAAACTTGCTGCTCCCATATTGATTATTTGCCATGAGATTGTCGTGCGTGTTTCGCTCTGTTTCTTGCCGGGCTTATCAGGTTGATTTTCCCACTTCCCCCAAATGGCTCAAAGTCAGCTTAAAGTGCGCACGAACTCCGGATGACCTCGCAAGGGTTGTTTTTCCCCCACAACCATGTCCGGAAAGTGGCAGTGTATTCGCCTAGGAGCTCCTGCTGCACCCATTGTAAAGTACATCTTGGGGGTTGCAACAGACAGGGGCAATTGTCTGGATTTCCGACACGACCTGCCCCCCACTTCCGCCCTCTTTCCGTCACGGATCCTAGGGGCCAAAAGACTCTCGTCACCAGCAAATATTATGGGGCAAATAAGCGACAAGAATCTCTGCAGTATCTTGTACAGAAAGACTTGCATAATTAGCAATTTCTGTTTATAAGGACACCTATGGAATTCTGCCTGCAAATCGAATATATTTCCCTTTAATTAAGCAGTATATATTTACCCATTACAAACAGATTCTTATTCTGCTGTAGTTATCCAAAAATCATTCTTCCAAGAATGAGTATATTTACCCTTCAGACTGGACTAATTTTGTTTACGTATTACTTATTGATGTGGCTTTATTTATGGCCCCAATAAAAAGCGGCCACTGGAACGATTATGACCCGAGAGAATTACTTAAAATTATTGGCCGCCATCCAAACAGACTCTTCATATCTCAATTTTAATTATACCAGTGACAGTTGCGTTCACATTTCCCCAACACTATTCAATTGTATATGGGTCATGGGAGTCTGTATATTTATAGAGCGGTCTTGTCTTCTTTCAGATGCCTTCACAGATTATTTCTCCGACTATGAGTGCAACCTGCCGCTCCTGGAAAGAGCAGTGCTCACGGCCACATCATCGTTGTCGGAACGAGGACCGAATAAAGCCCGTTTGAATGGTGAGTAATATTGGGTTTTATACTATAATATATGTATTTATATTGTTCTTGATTTTGTTAGTTCAGTTGCTAAATTTATATTTCAGTTGTTATATTAGCAATTATTATTTTTAAACGCTAATTTGCCATTCAGTTTGATAGGAAATGTATTAATCTCTTCCTTAAAATTCCCAATTAAGTATTTAGCGCTGTTTTGCCTTAATGGCTCTAAAATCAACGACTGTTTATTGTAGTTTTCAAGTCGAAATTGTAAACAGGAACTCAGCTGATTTTTTATAAACAGTATTTTGTCAGTATATTTAGTCGGCGTAATCGCCAGTAGATTCTTACCCTTTCCACTTGCGGGCATACTGCAAAGAAGAAGCAGCAGCGAATTAGCAACAACTTTGCACAGCGAAAACGCCCCGAAAGCAATGAGTGTTGCGGCAATTAGATAGCTTTTATTCGCACCAAGATGAGCAGGCACATCTGCACCCGCTGGGCCTTTGACCTGTCCAGCTGGTCACCCACACTGCCCCAACTGAGCCAGGCGGTGGCTCTCGTCCAGCCGGAGGAACGCGTGCGCCTCATGAAGTTCCACTTCATCGACGACTTTCTGTCCTCGCTAATTGGTCGCCTATTGATGCGGAAATATGTGAGCTCATGTACCGGATTGGCCCAGCACCAAGTGCAGTTTGCCCGGGATGTGAGGGGCAAACCCTACTGGGTGAAGAAGGAGGATTGCGAGGCGCCGCCGCTCAGCTTCAATGTCTCCCACCAGGGAAACATGGTTCTGCTGGCCGGGATTACTGGCGAAAGTCAAGATCCCGACTTTGGTATCGGCACGGATGTCATGAAGATCGAGTACGGTGGCGGCAAGTCCCTGTCGGAATTCTTCCGGCTGATGCGGAACAAGTTTTCGGAACACGAATGGAGCTACATTGGGAGGCCCCAGCACAACGAGCGGGCTCAACTGAAGGCTTTCATGCGTCACTGGTGCCTCAAGGAAGCCTACGTCAAGGAGCTGGGAGTGGGCATTACGGTGGACCTGCAGAAGATCAGCTTTTCCGTAGATACCACCCACAATCTGGGGGAGGAGGTCTCCCCACTCATAGGCACCACCCTGCGCTGTCACGACAAGCCCATGGATAACTGGCATTTCGAGGAGCACTTGCTGCAGGAGGAGTACTGCGCTGCCATTGCATTCAGGAATTGTCAGCCGCAGGAGCATGGCAGATTTAAGATCCTTGGAATTGAAGAACTCCTTGTAAAGAGCCAGGAATCAGAGCTGCAGGAAGTGGTTGCCTACTGCCAAAAGGCTTTAGTTAAGCCGCACAAACGATCGTAAAATACGCATCATTTCAACTCTAGATTGATCTTGCATTTATAAACAAATTAACTTATTGTAAAGTGCCAAGAATGCCTTATACAAATCATAAAATATAGGTACATATTCTTTTGATAATTTGCGAGGAATCAGAGCTGGAGGAAGTGGTGCCTTAGAGCTCGAATTAAGTGATATCCTAAATCAGACAGTTGTTATCCTTAGAATAAACATGCATTTGTATTACTATTCCAATGGTTCTGCACAAAATCGAATGACTTGTAATCCTCGTGTTGTCATGTTGAGCGCTGCGCACCCCCAGAAAACGCTTGTTTGCCTGGCACAGGATAAACAAACTCGACGAAACTTACCCGGAAATATGCTTAAAAGGCCATAAACCCAAATTTAGGAACCCGTAATGGGACTCAGACAGGGGCCAGACATGGTTCGGCTTCCAATTTATGCGCCAACAGGATGGGCCCTCCGTAAGGGTAGCTACGACTCTGCTCGTTTGTTTGAATTATTTTTGGCATTCCCGAAAGTTTTATCGATGGGAACGATGGCAGTCTGGCTGATTGCACGTTGCCAACGGAGGACAAAGGAAACTTTAATGCGGCACAAACGGAATTTGGGGAGGGGTTCTTGTTCCCATTCCCGATGCGAGTATGCAATCCCTGCAGTCCGGCCCAGCTTTCTCACACTATTTTGTCACACCTGCTTGCGATTTGGCGCGGTCGGCAATTAAAACAAAGGCAGAAGGCCGCGATTGTTTATGCCCAGCCATTTGAGAGCTCTCTCCCATTTTGTGTTGACACCAACTCAACCCCCCCGGATTACGAAATCCTTTTTTCGGCAGGGGTTGAACCCCGCACTGAAGGACCTCGACCACTTGCAGCTGTCAATCGCAATCGCCCCTAAATTATGGTTTATTAATTGGAAACACCCCTAGGGCGAAATTTGGCAATTTTAAGCCCTCGGTTGTAACGATTTAAAGAGTTCTCAGACCCCTGCTCCCCCCCATTTGTTTTCTAGTTTAAGTGCATTTTATTTTGCTTTTGTTTTGGTTTAAAATGTATCATTTTCGTTTTATTGCCCCTCATCCCACGACCTCTATCACGAACCCCAGCTGGCACCTCGTGGTCGGCGAAGAACTCGGACTTCGACCAGCGTCTCATTATTGACCTGGGCGTGGTGCGGAACGTGACGCACATAGCCCTGCAAGGACGACCCCATAGCAATGAGTACGTTACCGAGTACACCATTAGCTACGGCATAACCGATCTAGAGTTTGCCGACTATAAAGAGCCGGGCGGCAATGTCAAGGTAAACAATCGATCCTGAATACAATTGTCCCATAATCTTCACACTGGAATGCTTGCGGTGGTGGTAGGTTTTTGCACAGGAACAAAAAATGTGTCTATTCGGTGTTATTTCTTTATTTAAGAACCGATAAATTAATTTAGAGTTACAATAAATAAAACATTTTTAAATACAAAAATATATATTTATATAATGCTTACGTAATTAAAAATAATTATTTGATTTTTTTTTTTAATAATTTAATATTTATTATAAAAACATAAATTACATTGAAAATAATTATCTAAATTTTCCTGGTGACTGGTAATTTTCCTTAAATAACTTAATATTAAAAAAATAATATAATAATATTTAAAATTTCTTGGTGACTGGTAATTTTCCCAAAATTAATTTAATATTAAATAAATTTTAAAAATTTATAAAAAGATCTATCCTAAGTAATATTTTCTCTTTGTGTAAATGAACCTTGGTGACTGAAAAAGGTCTTTATCTGCAAAAGCGGATTATCTTAATCACAATCCATTATTATTTTTGCTTGCTTTTGTGCTTGGTTTTATTATTTTTTTATGTTTCCTTTCCTAATTTCATCCCATGCATGCATTTGTTATGTGTTTAGTTACTACATAGCTCTGTAGCTCACTTCCCTACCCATTCTCTACACTCTGACACTGTGACTAACTAGATTGGTAAATGCACCTTGTGCAGGTAACGCTGCTTGGACACCGGTCGAGAATACATATAACCACTTTCTAACACTCGACCTGGGCGATCCGGTCATGGTGCGCAAGATCGCCACGATGGGACGCATGCACACGGATGAGTTCGTGACGGAGTACATTGTCCAGTATTCGGACGATGGCGAGTTCTGGCGCTCGTACGTGAATCCCACAAGCGAGCCGCAGGTACGGTGACTAAACCTAGTTTAAGATTTGAGTAAAACTAAACCCGGTTTAGAGTTTAGAAGAAGAGGAGAAGGATTAATGCTTTAAACACGCAATCTGCACTTTTTGACCCACTAAGCTTAAGCTTGTAATTAAAACTAAAAATTGCCTGTCCCTCACAGATGTTCAAGGGCAACTCCGATGGCAACTCCATCCACTACAACGTTTTTGAGGTGCCTATCATCGCCCAGTGGGTGAGGATCAATCCTACTCGGTGGCACGATCGCATTTCCATGAGAGTGGAGCTCTACGGTTGTGATTACAGTAAGTTAATTAATTATTAATTCGGTATTATGTCGTTGAAAATATTTATTTGAATTTTCTTGGTGATTGGTAATTCCCGATAATAATAATAATAAATTAATTAATATAAATAACATAAAAAGATCTATCCTTAGTAATGCTTTATAAAATATAACTTGCAGTCTCTGAGAACCTGTACTTCAATGGCACTGGCCTGGTGCGCTATGATTTGAGGCGGGAGCCCATTGCCTCCACCAAGGAGTCCATTCGTTTCCGCTTCAAGACCGCCTTTGCCAACGGAGTGATGATGTACTCGCGCGGCACCCAGGGGGATTACTACGCCCTGCAGCTGAAGGACAACAAAATGGTGCTAAATCTCGATCTAGGATCCCGCGTAATGACCTCCCTGTCGGTGGGCAGCCTGCTGGATGATAATGTGTGGCACGATGTGGTGATCTCAAGGAACCATCGTGATATCATCTTCTCAGTGGATCGTGTGATCGTGCGGGGACGCATCAATGGAGAGTTCAGTCGATTGAATCTCAACCGGGAACTGTACCTTGGTGGCGTGCCCAATGTCCAAGAGGGTTTGATTGTCCAGCAGAATTTCTCCGGCTGCCTGGAGAATATCTACTTCAATTCTACCAATTTCATTCGCGGCATGAAGGACAGCTACGAGTTGGGAGAGGCCTATCTGTTCCAGAAAGTAAACACCATCTACGCGTGTCCCTCGCCTCCGATTTATCCGGTGACCTTCACCACCCGGGGATCGTTTGTTCGCCTCAAGGGCTACGAGAACTCTCAGCGCCTGAATGTTTCCTTCTACTTCCGCACCTACGAGGAGACTGGTGTGATGCTACACCACGACTTTTATTCCGGTGGCTACATCAAAGTCTTCCTAGAGTTTGGCAAGGTCAAGATTGATTTGAAGGCCAAGGACAGACCGCGTATCATCCTGGACAACTACGACGAACAGTTCAACGACGGCAAATGGCATTCGTTTGTGATCTCCATCGAAAGGAATCGCTTGATTCTGAACATTGACCAGCGCCCGATGACCACGACCAAGAACCTGCAGATTGCCACGGGAGGGCAGTACTACATAGCCGGTGGCAAAGATAAAAATGGTTTTGTGGGCTGCATGCGTCTGATTTCGGTTGATGGCAACTACAAGCTACCCCAGGACTGGGTGAAGGGCGAGGAGGTTTGCTGCGGTGACGAGGTCGTGGTGGATGCCTGCCAGATGATCGATCGCTGCAATCCAAATCCCTGCCAGCACAAGGGCGTGTGTCACCAGAACTCGATGGAGTTCTTCTGTGACTGTGCGCATACAGGTTATGCGGGAGCCGTTTGCCATACTTGTGAGTGTTTCTTTATTATTAAATAATAAATTAGCTTATTAAATAAATCTTTCCTTTAGCCAACAATCCTTTGTCCTGCCAGGCGCTCAAGAATGTCCAGCACGTGCAGCAGCGTGTCAACCTGAATCTGGATGTGGATGGCAGTGGCCCTCTGGAGCCTTTCCCTGTTACCTGCGAGTTTTACTGTAAGTAGTTGATTCTTTCGCTGTTTTCTTTACAAAAAACATAGTTTATTTTAATATAAAACCTGGAAATTTTAGTTTCAAAAGTTAATCAATCAAAATATCAAGCTGTTACCTTGCTAAATTGTTGTTTAACTCAAATATTTTTGACATTGATTGATGGTATTTTCCTGATTCTCTTCTCTAGCGGATGGCCGTGTTATCACTACCCTCAGTCATAGCCAGGAGCACACGACCACTGTGGATGGCTTCCAAGAGCCGGGCTCCTTCGAACAGTCCATCATGTACGATGCCAATCAACTGCAAATCGAAGCCCTGCTGAATCGCTCTCATAGCTGCTGGCAGCGCCTGAGCTACTCCTGCCGCTCTTCCCGACTCTTTAACTCGCCTTGTGAGTGGATACGGTTATCTTCCTAAACTAAAACTGTATTAATAATTTTATATTCCGCAGCTGAGGCTGGCAACTTCCGTCCCTTCTCCTGGTGGATCTCTCGCCACAACCAACCAATGGACTACTGGGCTGGAGCTCTTCCAGGGTCTCGTAAGTGCGAGTGTGGAATCCTAGGCAAGTGTCACGATCCCACCAAGTGGTGCAACTGCGATTCGAACAGCTTGGAGTGGATGGAGGATGGCGGTGATATCCGGGAGAAGGAGTACCTCCCAGTGCGAGCTGTAAAGTTTGGCGATACTGGCACTCCTTTGGATGAGAAAATCGGTCGCTATACCCTCGGCCCGCTGCGCTGCGAGGGCGATGATCTGTTTAGCAATGTTGTGACGTTCCGCATTGCCGATGCCTCTATTAACCTGCCACCCTTCGACATGGGTCATTCGGGAGATATTTATCTGGAATTCCGCACCACGCAGGAGAACTCGGTACTCTTCCATGCCACCGGACCCACGGACTACATTAAACTGAGTCTGATTGGTGGGAACAAGCTGCAGTTCCAGTACCAGGCGGGCAGTGGTCCTCTGGGCGTGAATGTGGGCACCAGCTATCACCTGAACGACAATAACTGGCACACGGTGAGTGTGGAGCGCAATAGGAAGGAGGCCCGTCTGGTGGTGGATGGATCCATCAAGGCGGAGGTGCGAGAGCCCCCAGGTCCAGTCCGTGCCCTACACTTGACTTCCGATTTGGTGATTGGTGCCACCACGGAGTACCGTGACGGTTATGTGGGCTGCATTCGTGCTTTGTTGCTTAACGGAAAGATGGTTGACCTGAAGGATTACTCCAAGCGGGGATTGTACGGCATCAGCACAGGCTGCGTGGGTCGCTGTGAGTCGAGTCCTTGCCTTAACAATGGTACATGTATCGAGCGTTACGATGGCTACAGCTGTGACTGCCGTTGGAGCGCCTTCAAGGGACCAATTTGCGCAGATGGTGGGTTTGCTGGATTCCCCAGTGATTGTATTTGGTTTAATTTGCATTTATTTGTTGCAGAAATTGGCGTCAACTTGCGCTCTAGTTCGATTATCCGCTACGAGTTCGAGGGCTCCTTCCGCTCCACAATTGCTGAGAACATACGCGTGGGCTTTACCACCACCATTCCCAAGGGTTTCCTGCTGGGCTTCTCCTCCAACTTAACCGGAGAATACCTAACTATTCAGATATCGAATTCGGGTAAATATAACTTTGAAATTGCTGAATTTCCTGGTTTTTGTTAAACCCTTTCCCTTGCAGGTCACTTGCGTTGCGTGTTTGACTTTGGCTTTGAGCGGCAGGAAATCATTTTCCCCAAGAAACACTTTGGCTTGGGCCAGTATCACGACATGCACTTCATGCGCAAGAACGGTGGCTCTACAGTGGTCCTGAAGGTGGATAATTACGAGCCTGTGGAGTATAATTTCGATATCAAGGCCTCCGCCGATGCTCAGTTCAACAACATTCAGTACATGTACATTGGCAAGAACGAGTCCATGACCGATGGCTTCGTGGGTTGTGTGTCGCGAGTACAGTTTGACGATATCTATCCACTGAAGCTGATGTTCCAGCAGAATCCACCAAAGAATGTCAAGTCGCTGGGCAGTAAGTTTTTCTATAATTAAAAATGTTTCAGATATTTCTACAGGCTTTATTTTGCTTTAGCTCAATTGACGGAGGACTTTTGTGGCGTGGAGCCTGTGACACATCCGCCCATTGAGATTGAGACTAGGCCGCCACCCTTGGTGGACGAGGAGAAGCTGCGCAAGGCATACAATGAAGTGGACTCTGTGCTGCTGGCATGTAAGTTGAAGATTTCCCTTGTAAGTTTAATCAAAAATAAATTATTTAAATCTTCTTCAGGCTTGCTGGTGATTCTCTTCCTGCTGTTGATCCTAATGTTCTTCCTCATCGGTCGCTACTTGCACCGACACAAAGGCGACTATTTGACGCATGAGGATCATGGCGCCGACGGTGCCGATGATCCTGATGACGCTGTCCTACACTCAACCACTGGCCATCAAGTCAGGAAGCGAACAGAGATCTTTATCTAAAGCCTTTCGCCACAAAATATGCACACAAATCGTTTTAAAATCGCCTTAGACGCGCCACAGCGACGACTCAGACTCACCACGAAGAAAAAAGAAATCAAACGAACACGGAAAAGGCTCGCAACGTATTACAGACACAGAACCTACCTAAACTTTTCCAAGCACTGCCAATTGTTTTTTGCGCAAGTGATTGCTACGTAATTGGTTTTGAAATTCGGCAGTTGACTTTTTTTCTTACGTTTTTTGTACTTTTGTTTGGTTCTGTCTGACGGCATTTTACCTTATTTTATTTTTGAACGCTCTCAATAGTCACTGAAAACCGTCCATTTTAAGTTAATTTTATAAACACATTTTGTTTGTTTGCGAAATTAAGTTAAAAACTTGTATTTTAAGTTGCTGCCCCTCCGACCGAAAGCAATATCGAGCGAGTAACATAAAGACGAACATTCCATTATTTTTAATACGTTTTTCTCGCTACGGTTAATTAAAAAGATGTCTTCTAATTTACACACACACACAAAAGGAACACGAGAATCATTTTGTGGCTAAACAAAATCGGCTACTTTAGTAACACAAATCATGAAAAAAGCAAACAAATTGTATTTTTGGAAAATACATTTTGTACGTCTTGACTTGAAAAATTTGCAAATATACATTATTAGTATGTGTATATAGAATATATAGCTATATATAAATATATATGTATGATTACGAAAAAAAGAGACAATGAAACATTAAAATTTTTAACTTTCAATAAAAAGAAACTACAAATAATAAACAAGTTTGTTTTTACTTACCGTCCTGAGAAATCTATGGAAACTACTGGCTGGATATTCAGTCTCTTAAGGTTTATTCAGTATAATTTTGTATACTAAAATATATATATATATATGTGTGTGTATGTATAATTATATAGGCTATTCCAAATATTAATAATCTGCATGTTTTTGATTTCCTTTGTAAAGTTAATCGTAACAATATAGGTTAATACTAATTTTGATTACTACGGTTTTGGTTTTTTGTTATTTTGTTTGCTGTCTTCTCTACTATATAGTATGTACTGGAATATCTGTTGGTTTTCCATGAAGCACATGTATAATATTGTTATTATCTAACAACAGTCTAAGTCAGATGTAACTCGTTAAAGGTAGTATAACACTGGGTGGGTCTGCACAATCCACAATCCATAATCTATAATCCACTATCCATAATCTATAATCCACTATCCATAATCCATAATCATTATTAAGTATCCGCGTCGTTGTTCCATAACTAATCTACACGCGTGTGTGCATGTTCCCAGTGGACCAAAGGACTAAAGTAAAAGGAAACTATCGCAAAAAGTTCGAAGACCCATTTAGATCTCGCTAAATGTTCGCAAACGGGTTCAGTAAAGAGCGTTTAGTAAACATACATGGGTTTTTACGGTCTCAAAAATGGTTAAAAACTGGAACTAAGAAGTAAAATTTATGTATGTTCATTAAACGCACATTACGTCTCATCAAAGATTGGAAAGATCCGTATTTGGATTGGTTTTGAATCGTAAAAGATAATCCTTACATAAGGTTGATCCACTGGGTTTATCGTTGTGTCTAGGGGCTACACCCGTGTCTACTCGTATTCGTATTCTGGGACTCCCAGAGGATTGGATTTCACTACATTGTACCTAGGTTCAACTATGGGTCAACATCGGTCAACGCTTCTAAATGGAAGATTACTATTTGTCGTATTGATTATGTACCATGGTTAGCTGATAAGTACGCCTTATCGATATGCTCGCCGTCAACTCTCCGCGTCCCAAAAAACCAAAAAACAGCTATCACAAACGGTAAATGAACATACAAAACTCTACAGGAATACGGGATATTCCACACTTACTGCCAGTAAGTGGCGCTATTGTCCACCACAACACATCATCTTTTCGCGCACCGGAGGCCAGAGTCGCCCTTAGTTGTGCACATTGCCGCTGGCCAGCATGCGGTAGCGGTTCAGGAGCTGGACCGCCGCGTCCTGCATGGGCTGAATCTTGCCGTGCCGCGCCTCGTAGACGTCCAGCAGCATCCGCTCTCACAAAACAGTGCAGATGACAAAGAGCAGCGACACGAGGCACAGCATGGCCACAATATCCCGATGCAGTTTCCTGTCCCGATGAAACGGTCGCGTGGTGTAACACTCCCGCCGCGCCTGTCTCAGCAGCCAAACGGGCACGAAAAGTTGCAGCAAATCCGGAACCATGAATCCTATGTCGCGGACTATCTGGTGGGCATATCCCTCGCCGCGCACCACATTCATAAAGAACTGGTCAAAACTGCTGGCCAAAATGTGCAGCAGGGCGATGCCAACGATACAGAATACCTTCTTCGGCGTGACCACGTTTGTCGCGTTGGCCAGATGCATCACCAGGACGGTGGAGAAAAGCTCAGTCACCTGTAAAGATATATATTTATTTTATTTTTGGACCCCAAATTAGGTGTAAATATAAACAATGCAACTTTTTCTGCTGACCCACGCGCCTAGGCTCTTTGCATATTTATAGCCACCAGCCATAATTTCCCTTTTTCCAATTTTCCGTGCTGCCCTCAGCCATCCCTCTACCGCATTCGCTCATTAACGGGGCTAAACTTTTAAGTTTAAACTTTGGTTGGATGGATGGATTTGCTCTTGAAACTTATTACCCTGCCGTGCTTCTATTTCCATGACCATAGCTATATACATAGCTATCTGGCCAACTAGGATTGGGCGGGCGGTCTAGTGGGGGACAAGTGCGAAAATTGTGCGGGAAAGTGTTCGAATTGGAGCGCATATTGTGCAAGTTTGGAGCGCCCTCGCGCAGGACGAACTTTGCCAATAAATTATAGATGGCCAGTAACTGGTTTAGGGCACATATGACGGCACGTCGCTGCGATATTTGACTTTGACTTGTAAGTTCTAGGTTGCAAGTTAAGCTTTACACGGGGAAAACATTTGCAGAAAAATAATTGTAATAGAATAACTAATTCATAACAGTAAACCCAAAAGTAGACATACATATTTGATATAGTTCTTGAGCGTAAACTTCCCCTTAATGCTTGAGGAAATTTTAAAGGAGTATCTATTTAACTTTTAAGAAGATGAAGAAGCTATATCTTATCAAGTTTTATAAAGATTTTAATAAAAGCAACGTCTCTCTAAAATGGCTAATATAATTTATTTCCTATTTTTTCTCTGTATCTTACAAGGGCCACTCACCGTAAAGAAGAGCTGGTGATTCCACTGATTGTAGTAGTCGTCGTTGTAGTAGTTGATGTACGCCCACCAGGCATAGTAGTGCGAGAAGATGGACAGCAGGAAGAGCAGGAGCATCGAGTACCGCACACGCTGCTGCAGGATCAGGGCGATTAGCCGCTTGATGCACTCGTACAGGGCAATCACGGCGAACACAGTCAGGATCCACATCTTAAAGCTATTGGGAGTGGCATTGAAGTACATATGCTTGTAGGCGGCCACTCCGGACTCGTAGGGTCCCTTGAAGACGGTGTCCCAGCACGAGCAGGTGCAGAAGTGCCTGTCCACGTAGCGGGCATAGTTCTCCCAGAAGTACCACAAGATGACGATGTGGGCCGGCGGAATGAGGGCCGGGGCCAGCGAGCCGCAGGCGGTGGGCAGCCATGTAATGTCGAACATCTTACAAAAACAGATAAGGATACTCCGATAATGATATGTCGTTTGCTTGCGCCGTGTTTGTTTCCCTCTCTATTTTTAAAATTTCCCAATCATCACGTTTCAGGCTGAAAAGGAGAAATAGAAAAATGTCAGTTGAGCAATAAATTATTAAAGACATAAATAATTTTAATTCAGTTTCCCAAGAAAAAAGGCTTATAAGGGAAGAAGATAATATGCAAATGAAAGCAAAAATGACAATAAACTGGCCAGGATGCACAATAAAATGGCATTTTTAATGAGCCAGCGAAACAATTTGCACGTTTGAGTAATATCTGTTAAGTTGATTATTTACATTTTATACGGAACAAAATGACAATTACATCACACTGACCTACAACAAATTATATAAAATGTATATATATACAATAATAGTATCTAATCGTAATGGCATTCTAATAAATACGATTCCCCCCGACTGGATGTCGAGAAAGAAGAGAAATCTACACCTTTTTGTATGACACTGTTTAATTTATTGACCAATTAAGTATCATTAGTAATCAAGAAAATTATTCCAACCCATTACACCGTAAAACCATTAACCAACTGGTGGATTTTCCACTAAAACGGACCTTCTATTGTCCCCGTAAAATATTCATCATTAGCATACATGTGATTTTGGTATAAATTAATCAAATTATTCTTAGTCATCTAATTAAAATTCAGTGTAAATGGGTGATATTTATACTTTAGTGATAGGACACGTGAATAATTTTCATCTTGTGATACAAACAAAAGAAACATTCATCATCTATCATCATTTCCCCTGCCAATTTCGTAATTATCTACAAGTGCAGAATGAAAATTATTTGTTAGGTAATAGATAAATACAACAAAGACTGGAAAAAATCCCATCAAAAAGACTAAGTAAACAATAAATGCAATTTTTCCCAAACTCAGAAATCACTTGAAAAGGAAAATGTTTGGGCGTTCGGTCTTCGGTGTCTTTATAAATATTCCAATACTTTTCGTTTTGGGCCAACAACATGTTATTTCTGTTTTGTACAGTTATGAAAATAAACAAACCGAGGGCCAGAAAATATATTCCGCACTCTTGGCAGTGCAACACGACCGAGTGTTTTTTATTTAAATTAAACCAGAGAAGGCCTGCCAGTTGACGCATTGCCATGGCTCTTCGTGGATTTGCACGTAAATTTGCATGCAACTGCGAATGCAACTGCAGCAGCGGCGAGTGACCGACTGAATGTCATCCCATCCACGGGCACTTGTGTGCCCAAAAATGATGCAATTATAAATTCATGTACTGCAGGAAGGGGGCAAAGGGATGGATAGATGGACCTACTCTACGCGCGGTGAATGGCATTCCAAGCGGTGGCACGGCTGCCAAAAAAAATCAAAAAGCAAAGCGAACGGTCATTAGTGCGGACACGAAGCTGGGCCCCTCAATGGGCATCTGAATGGGTACGACGGGAATGGGAATATTCTCGTATGGCATTGCCGCTGGGAAAGTCAGCAACTGCAATTGAGACAACAATGAGAGGGGCAGCCAACAAATAAGGATAGAATTGGGAACCGAAGATGGGGATATCCTAGGAAACATTGTTTGCCAGTTTTAATATTAATACAATTTCTTTAGAAACTCAGTACTGATAATAATTGGAAATATATCCCAATTCAATTCCACCATCAATTTAGAAAACAATTTTAAAGTCTCAAAAAAATTGCTCTTAATAAGACAAAGGTTTTTAATATCTTCCAAAAAAACGTATAATATACTAGGACCCTCGTCATGTTGATATTGTATATTTTTTAGTTAATTATTTAATATAGAAAGGTATATAATATCCGTCAGGCATACTACCGTATAATAATGCCCACCAACAAAGGGTGCAATTACACCAAGTACAAGTGTATTTCCGTCTGTTCGGCTGCTCCTCAACTTAATTAAAACATCGCCCTGCGAGGTGCAGCTGCCAGCGTAAAACTATTTCGATTTGTTTTGATTGCCGGTGCTGGTGTTCGGCTCTCGACTTGCTCTTGTTGCGCCACATCGCCCTATAAAAACCAGCCAAGCCGAGCCAGATCAACACAGAAAACAATAAAACAGCGCCAAATGGAGGCGAGCGTTTACAATTGACGTCACGCTGGAAATCAGGAGCATAAGATTCAAACCGTTGCAGCATGCTATATGAATTTCAAATCGAGAACAAAACACTGGAAACATAGTATAAACAATAGCTGAATATCTCTACATTTGGAGTTGAATTAATGCGGGTCCGCTCCAACTCCGAATAAGACCCACAAAATGTGACACTGGGAGAGGAATCGATGATTCGAGAAAGACCCCTAATTTGTCAAAGGCACAGCAGCTCATGCGGAAGGAGCCAGCTTTCAGTTCCTATTAAATCAATCTGCATTTGGGTCAGGAATGGCAAGGATACAACGAATTAAATTTATTCAGCGGGGGAATAAATTTCCACTCAAGCTCTCACCATTATTTTCGTTAACATTTATTTGTACAGCTGCAGTATTTTATGAATCAAAATTCATTTATTGGTAAACTTTGCGGCACGATGGAGGGAATATTTGTTTTTGTAAATTAAAATAGTGGAGGGAATTGTGTATATATTTATATTTATATTTAAGTTCCTTTTAAAGTTGATAAAATTCTCTACCACAAGTTAACATATTTTTTAAAAGTGAAAGAAACACTTGCCACTCAGTCGGAGTATTATCCCGGATAGTTGCCCCCAACGAATCGCGTGCTCAAATTCACAGTCGTCTGAAAGACTGTGTGTAAACAACACCTCAGGCAATGGGAACAACAACAATAAAAAACAAGGAGCACAACAACCATACCAACTAGACTTTGGTGTGAGTGACGGTAAAGCTGTCAACAGTCGTGGCGTCGTCACTTGAGCTGCATTGTTGTACAAGTATTTGTCGCACGGGCAACGCGTCGTATGAGTAATGTATGAGTGACGGCGTAGATTGGGGGGTGTGTTGGGATGGGAACTGGGAATGAGTATGGAAATTGGAGGCGGGAAATCCCTCCCGCCAGGCCAGTCCGTGCAGTCGAGTGGCCTTCTTTGCATGCTCATTTGTGTCCCTTTCAATTGTCATACGGGTTGCTTTTTCGTTGCTGGCATACGCCAGACACTTTGTCTGTGAGTCGTAAGAGAGTCGTAAGAGTTATGGAAACGAGACCTGGATTGGGCTACTGCCTCCGAGGTTTGGGAATAAATTTCAGACACACGACCCTAATAGCCCTTGCAATCGTTGCAGGTGATAAACGAACTAGCGATGAGCATGCAAGGAAGTCGATGGCTGTTAACACGCGACACTTAAACTCGAACTCGTGCTCGTATCTCCGTGGATACATAAACACATGAGCATATACACGAGCATTACAATAATTATGCACAGCGGGAAAACATTTGGTTTGTAGAATTAAGGAAATAGGTTTGATTATAAGAGATGTGTCAGCTTTCTGACTAAATTGTTACTTGTAAGATATTTATTCCTTAAGAATCTTCTCATTAACTTCCCCAGAGAATGTAATTTTCATATTTAAATATTATTAAACTCTCTTCTCCCTATTTATTTTTTAATATTTCAACTTCTCTTTACATTTTTGTCTCAGTGACTGGCACTTTCGGGAGTGTACATATCTCCAAACCGCCCTGTAAACGATGTGGGCGGCTGACTGGCTTTGCACTGAGATAAATCGCCAGCAATAACATTGCCTGCTTGGCGTTTGTTTAGTCAATATTTTGTTGGGCATCCGGTACAAACACATGCACTAAGCCAAATATAATCGAATCGAACGAAATGCAATTACAGCCACACACACACACAGATGGAGGAGCACCATTAAAAATAGAGCCGCAAGAGGAGTTTCCGGTACGTGAAAAAATCGTGGAAAATCGAAATACAATTAGGCGAAGCCCTAGAATGTGTACATAAAAACCAACTGAACCTAATGCGCGGCAGTTGGGAGTTATTTGGGCTGGGTTGAGTTCCCCTGGATGCTGGCCTTTGGTTTCCTTTCCCCTTATTACGCCGGCTCCCTACGTTCTGGCTAGCCTTACCGGGCAGCAGGAAATTCGCTTTTCCACAATATGTAAATTCGGTCTTATATACAACTTTGTTTAAACAAATCCGTTTGGGTGTTTATTTGTTTGAAAACGAAAAAAGAGAAGACTTTGTGGGAACAACAACCGCGGGCAGGTCGTGAAAAACGCGACTGAAATTATTGTTATGCTGCGTGTGAAATTCTGCTCTTGTCTTTGGCAGCCGGCGCCGGCGTCGTTGTCTGGCCAATGTTTCCTAACAAGAAAATAGGGGGAAAGCTCTCAGCTGATGAGAGTTTTCCTTGCTGGCCCGCCAGCTGTATGTGTATGTCGCGCACTGTAGCCGGCGCGCGTTCTCTATCTCGCTGGCGTGCTCTCTCTGTTTGCTGCGCTCTCTCGGCGGAAAGGTGCGCTGAAAATACTGGGAAATGCATGCGGCTTCTTTTGGACAGCACATTAAGTATACGCGCCGTGGCCGCACATTGCATTATCAGCTGCAATGGGCTCACGTGGATCTTCCACACATACACTATTATTTGTGATTTATATACTTACATTCGAAACTATTCTGTGCACCTGTTGTTGGTGCTTATATATTTAAGTTTTCCGACTTAAAACACCATTTGGTTTGTAGTTTTTGTACATTTATTTCGAGCTGTTGGGTTTTTGTTTTAACATTACCACAAATACAAAAAAATACGTACTTGTCAAACAATTAAACTAATTGAAATACAAGCAGCTTAAGTGAAACACATACAATGCACACATAAAATTGCTGTCAAAGTGCATCTTAAATATGCTAATTAAATGGTTTTCCCCCGCTTCGCGCTTTGTTTTCCCCTTCGTCCTCCCTTGTTTTGGTATTTTTTCTGCAATTTTATTTTGAGCACAATTGCAAACAGCAGTGGCCATTGTTTGCTCACATAGCGAAGGAAGTACATAAGTTTGTCCCCAACAATGGCTTAAATTTGTAGTCTAGTAATTAAAATGCTGGCCGAGACTTATTCATCTGCCGTTGTCATTGTTCTCGGCGGGGCCATTGTGACCGACCGAGATATATTATATGTACATATATAAAATGATACGGCTAGGTAAGTATCAAGAGTATAAATTCGTTATATATCGCTCCGCAGGCCATTCAGCCATCATCCATTAACCATTAACCATTATCCTTACAGGTACAAGTTCTCGTTGACTTTATCAAAGTCGTGTTTGGTTAGCTCGGCTTTAGAGTAGACATTGTATACAATCTTAAGTAATACCTATAAGATACACAGAACCATTTGGGCTAGACATTGAGATGTGAACGCAATTAGTTTAATTTATCCAACATTTACAATAGCCTGGAATAATCCTTAATCGGTCTAAGCTGCCATCACAATACAATTGAAGTACAAGGAGCCCAGCCATATTCGTTTGATTATATTGTCCCCATTATTAAGATACAATGCAAGCAATCTGCGAATGCCATTCGAGTGTGCCTGGATCTGGGCGACTTTCCCTGAAATGATGTATAATTTTCCTATCGAATTTCCCTGCTGGCCACCAAGTCCCACACTCCGCTCGTTCTTTGTACTAGTTTTGACCCTGCTAGGCCTCCCATTAATACACTGTCACATGTATCGACCTTCCCTTCTCTTCTCCTCTCTGTCTAAACATCCCGTAAGCTCATTATATATATTTACTATCACTAGTGTGGTCGCCATGTCCTCGTCCAACTGCTAGGCGGATTTTCCTGCTTCATTTCTGTTTATTATTTTCATTTCCATTATGGTTCCTTCAATGGCATTCCATTCAGCCCCCGGAACAATGCCATTGGTCATTCGTTATTGAAGAGTGAAATCACTTTGCCCTAGTCCTAGTGTCTGATTTCGGTTTTCTGGCTTACCAAGTATAATTTTGTTGGCTTAGTTCAACAATAAAGACTCCATAACATTGCAATTTATAATTTGTAGGCTCATACACAATTTAGCAAATTAATTAGAATGTTTCACAGATGATGCGGGCAAAGTTTCTCTTGGCAAACAGAATTTAAAGGAACTACATTACATGTAATTTGTAATTTTTAATTACCTCTGATGAGGAATTTTGTATTTATTTATTAACGGGAAAAACTAAAAGGTTTCATTGTATTTAAAATAAATTTTTAACTCAAAATAAAAAATAATCAATGATTACAATTAATAAAAGCTATAAAAAATACACAAACTATTCCCCAATTAACTTGTAACTCCTGTCCGCCCCAGGGATATGCTGTTCCTAAAAGTAATGCACCTTTTTGCTCCATGACGGCCCCTTTAGAACTTACTCTGCTCCATGACACTGCTCACCGAATTGTTGATCTCGGCCACCACAACTATCTCCTCGTTCTCCTCCGTCTCCTCGGGCACCATCATCAGGTTATTGTTCATCAGATAGGTCTCCATGCGGTGATCTCCCTCGCCTGCGGCCCCACCCGTGGTAGAGGTGCGTAGTCTGTGGGTAAAAGACGACCTCGATCGGGTCATGTACGATGATCTGGTGGTGGATACCCTCCTGAGGATTCCGCGTCCGTAGAAAAGCATACGCACTTCGACGCGAAACCGGGGGTGAGTGGCAGCGTAGAGGTAAGGGTCTACGCAGGCTGCCGTCTTGCAGAAAAGCGCCGGAATCATGGATCCCAGCGGAGTGATGTGCTGCTCCAGACCGAAGACACCCATCATGGCCACAACGGCGTAGGGCGACCAAGCCAGAAACCACAATCCTATAATGGCTGCCACAATGAAGGCCAGCTTCTGCTCCGTTTTAGCCTTATCCTTGTTTGATTGAATCCGGCTTGCCGTGAAGACCACCTTCAGGATGTAAAAGTAGGAGTACACGATGGTGGTCAGCGGAATGGCGTAAGCTGCTACGAAAAACAAAGCCATGAAGATGCGGGCCGGCGTCTCCTTGTTTAGGTAATCAAAGCTGCAGGTGGTCAGGAAACCTTCGGGTACATAAACCGACAGCCCGATGTCCAGAGCCGGCATCACAGCGAACAGGAAGCTGTAGCACCAGATCAGCAGGATAATCAGGTAGGAGCGCAGGCGGGAGCAGCGTCTCAAGGGCTGCAGTGGATGGACCACCACATTGTATCGGTCCAGAGCGATGGCGGTGAGTGTTCCAATGGCGCAGGTCCCACTCAGACCGCCAACAAATCCGTACAGGCGACAGGCTGCGGGTAGAGATACAGTTAGCTTTGCTGTTTGGCAATCTGTATTTTCGATTTCTAACCACAATGCAGAGAGAAAAATTATTTAAAGTGCAAGGATACTTAATAAAATTAAGATACAAAATCTATATAAGTTTCTGAAACTTATAAAAAGCAAACTTGGTTACTGAAAAATTTTAGTATCCTTATTTTTTAGGACTTTTATAATGAGTTGCCTTTCAGGAGACGATTTTTCCTTCAGTCCATACCAGCTTACCTGCATCTCCCAGAGCCGGACCTTCCTTGATGTTGTTGTATATGGCAATCGGACATTTGACGAGCATCAGGAAGTCACAGATGGCCAGGTTCATCACCAGAATATTGGCCGGAGTGCGCAGTGACTTGCGGTTGGCGAACATGAAGATGACGAATGCATTGCCCACGCATCCCACCACCGAGATGAGGCAGTAGAGGGCGGCCATCACCAGAAAAGTGCTCGAACGCGGCGGCTCGAATTGCAGCCAAAAAGGATTTACCTTGGCGATGTAGCTCAGGTCGTATTTATCGCGGTAGTGGATGTAACCGGGATATGAACTATAATTACTGCAAAAAAAGAGTTAATTAATGGTTGTGGGTTTCACTCCTTGCATAAAAGTGCGTATACTTAATATTATAATAAGGTGTTTTATGTTTTCTGTATTTTCTTTAAAACTTTTCAATGGGGTTTTAATGATTTAAGCACTTATATATTATATAATATATATCTATTAAAAATCCCATTTAAATAGTTTTTAGCCTATCACATGACCCGATTTTCTCCCCTTTTCAGTCACTTGCAGCGCATTATGAATTCTAAGCGAGTTAGTTGAATATGCACCCACTAGAAAATTAAGCCGAGCTTATCGCGATGACTTGTTGAGGTTGTCAGGGGCAAGAGGATGTGCGTTATCTGGGGATGTGTGAGCATGTGCGACCCCCCTGGCCAAACCTTACCTTAGTGCCGTGGAGACGCTGTCATTCACGTGCTTGTCGTGGTCCTTGCCCACATTCACCGCTGAGGAGGCCGTCGACGGAGTCTCTGCCGTCGTGGTTGTGCTGGCGGCAGGGCCGTCACTCGAATTGGCCAGAATCTCGGAGAGGGAAAGGGCTCCAGTTAGCCAAAAACTGCTGCTGCCAGCCGCATCCGTCGTCAGTGTGGGCAGCGTCGACAGGATGATGGTCTCCATGTCTGCTTGGAGGTTTTTGGGCCCAAACAAAAAGTTTAGGAGCTTCCGAGCCAAACGGCAACTGGAACGTGCCCGCAGTGGTGGACGCGTAAAGTGCGCTTATTTGCTGGCCGCATTTGGCAAGGATGCGGCGTGTCGCCACCGCAGGGATCCCGTCAGAGGTGCAGGCGGAGGAGCTATCGGTGGTGCGGGGATGCTGCCGTGTTCACGAACCATTTTCCGTGTGCCCAACGCCAAAGGGGTTAGCTGCAATTAGCCGTTCTCCGGTGACCCTAAAATGGGGACAAATAAAAACGGGGTTTCGTTTAATCGATTTCCTGTATTTAATTTACCGCATTCGGGTTAAGTGGTGTCTCTACGCCAATTTAATCACAATTTGAAGGTTCCAATTTTGGCTTAAATAATGTCTTAACCTTGAATTTGACTTTACTGTAGGGACTAACTTTCTAAAGACTTAAATATGGCCTAGAAATTTGTAAATGTCATTAGATAAAAATATATAAGATTACATTAAAATAAGACTAAACAAATAAATAAAATAAAAATCATTTTCTGCTGACTATAAGCTGTTTGTAACATTCATTCCCTTTCCAAGTAATTCCTTAATTAAAAACTACTTTAAAAGCTAAAAATACCCTCCAAATGAAGTTCAAAGTATCTAATGGTTTTGTGGAATGCAGAAATTATATCTAAGAACCGTCAAAGCAATAAACTTGGGTCGAGTTTTTTAGTGGAATGCAGCAGGTGGATGCCTCAGGTGGGAGTTATTAAAAGCAGCGTGAAACCAATAACATTGTGTTACCCGCTAGATTATGGTAAAGAACAAGGACGAACTTTACTTTTTTGCTTTTCATAAAAAAGTTTTAAATGCATTTAAAAGCTTAACTTGGACTGGGCTCTTTAATAGGACTTTGTGTAAGTCCTTAGAGAAGATAAATAATTGTGACAAGTATTTGTAATTTAGCACATTTGGGCACCGCATCATGTTTTGTTAACAATTGTAACCGAGGCACACTGATTGGTTCCGGACAAGAAAATCAATTAACACCTGCTTGCTCACGATGCCTGCGGTCACTCCGGATGATTACTTACGAGTTACTTGTATTATGTAAATCCGCAGGAAAATGTATTTAGATGGGGAAATTTAATTGCTTATTAAATAACTGCCAGCTCGGCCACGTGAGCCTGCAGGCAGGCATTCGAAGATCCGAGGTCCTGCCGCAAGTGCTTTTCAACTAGAACTCAAACACGAACTTCTCTGGGCCCGGGAAGAGGAACCTGAGCATAAACAGCACTTGGCGGCAGCCGTCGAGGCCAAAGACAAATTTCAAGCTCAAAACTTTTCTCCACCACCACCATCATAAGCAGCAGCAGCAGCGGCAGCCAACTGCAGCCCAAGAACAACTTGAATGTCTGGGAACAACTACAAGTGACCCATGACCCGACCCATTCCGCTCTAGCGTTTGCTTATTATATTTACAACTCTCGTTGGGAACAACACAACACAAAGTCGGCGACAGCGACGACTCTGCCTTTTGTGGGAGATCCGCTGGAAAATTTTTAGTTCCGCTTTGAAATTGGCGTAGTTTTCCGTTGGCCTTTATGGCATTTAAATGGCACTAATTGGCCAATTGAAATTTGTCTTTGGGCACTAGTTTTTGTTTTGGCCTTTGTTCCCTCAAAATCGAATGCCCTGCCATTTTTGGGGGCCAGAAGCTGTGGCATTGACAATTAATCACTCAGAAAGGATATGGAAAGTGGTCCCTGTTTCGGTCTCCAAGAGAATCTGTGCGCATGGCGGGGGCAGTCAAACAGCTTACGCTGTTCTCTGTCAGTTAATTTGAAATGTGCACAGGCTGCTTTTGAATGCTCGTTAGATGTGCCCAGTTACAGGGCTTCCAACGAGCTCCCCAGATGCAGCACTTTTCCAAGTAATGTACCAACAAAGGCAAAGGACTTGGACGTCAAACAATCGCATTGGGCAAGTTTCTATTCATGTGCAACTTGATTTACAATTATTTTATTCACGGCAATCTGGTTTCGGAACGTTGACCATTCTGCGTACATTGAAGGTCTGCCAAGTATTTATTTATTGTCAGTAGATAGAGGCAATTGGATGTTTAATTTTAAGTATTAAATGATGTAATGAATGAGCAGTGACACACTGCAATATTTGTTATAGATAATTTACTTTATTTTCCATACAATGATTAAAGTTATACTTTACAATTTATTTTACTACCATTACGCCAAAAGAGTGATACAATTACTCAGTTGATGTTTGAAATACAGAATTTATTCTGCCATTAAATGCGCATCCCAATCTTTTCCTTTGTACAGGACTCTTTATGGCCAGTCATGGGTATTATAAGGACTTGTTTTCATCTACTCGAATTTAATAAAGGGTTTTATTTACCAGATTTTAAAGTGCCTGGGCAATGGAGCATAACCTGTTGAATGTCAAGCATTTGCATTTGTCTGCTTTTTAATTTTCAAAGCCGATTATAAATGTTAACGAAAGCCATATACACAGAAAGATACTATAAAAAGGTATTTTAAAGATGCAAAAATTTAAATAAAAGTTGAATATGCCAATTTAAATGTGCAATATCAATTTCCGGGCGTAACTAATTCATGGCTTTGTTCTATGAATATTTATAAATACTAAATTGGTTACTATTTTTTGAAAATAATTTTTTCTCTTATATTATATACCTAAAGTGCTCTTCAAACAAAGCAAATTGCTGTAGCGAGACGTTATTTCTTTCACCTAATCATTTCCATTCGGGAGCTTCAAAGGAATCAACTGAGCCGCTAGGACATTCTCTTGGTCCTCGAGAAATTGTGCAAGCTGGCGTGACTTGTTTGGGCCCATTCGACAGTCATTCGATTAGACCAAGTTCCTTTGGTGGCCAGGGCCACGCTGCTGCAGATTATCCACTCGTATCAGGCGCTTTTGGTGCACTAAACAAAAGCGGAACCATCACTTAGGCGCACACTCTTGCATGGCGGATGTGCGCCTTTTTGGCTGGATGCACAAGCCCCTCGTGCGGCTCTTGCCAAATGCATTGCGTCCTTTATTTTTCCGCCACAATTTTATTCCTCACTCGCAATTTAATTATGAGTGGAAATGGTTTAAAGTGTTCAGCTCTTTTCCCAGGCCATGCCGTGCCGTGGTGCGTTATATTTCGTTTTGTTCGGCCTGTGGATTGCACGGAAGCAATTATCCAGCCACTTGCTGAAAAAGCTGCAAATCGCTAACAAGCAACGCAAGAGAGCAAGACAATAATTTATTTAAATTAAGTTTCAATTTCTTTCAGTTTGGGTTTCGCTGCAGAAGCTGCCACAATAATTGCATCGCTTAAAGGACGGGAATCACTTTACAAAACTGCTCTTTTTTGCTTAAGAGCAATATAAATTTGTGTATGTTCTTTGGCTGTGGCCTTCGTATAAACTAATTTCGCCGGGAGCTATCCTTGGGTATTATTTTACGCGGCTACTATTTTGCGAAGAAGTTTAGCCTCATTATAATTGCTTATCATAACATTGGTTTGCCTAAAAGCAACTATTTCGGCATTAAATAAATATTTTGAAGTGGTTAAATATTTCTAGGTACTGTTAATAAAGGGACTAGGCTTTGATTTCTTTAAAATAAATGTTTAGTTAACGTAAGTCACTTACAAATACTATTTGTTACTTGTTAAAATCCAAACTTGTTTTCCCTTAAACATTTCCAATTCCAAATGTCAAAAATGTCACAAACTTGCGTCGTGAGGCACGCTTTAATGCCTCCAAAAGCACAAAATCACGCTCATCTTTAAGCAATTGCAGCCATATTTTTATAAAATCAAATTTTTGCCAGAGTTAGCAACAGCTAACCCAGGCATCCAAAGTCACATGTGTCCGGATCAGACGTGTAATGTGCTATATGTATATCCTGTATGCAAGGGTTGCCCCAGCTGCAGGGATACAGCTCCCATGGCGTCAAGGCGACAAGCAGGATTTAAGAGTAGGTAAAGCCAAGTCGAGCCAATTTTCAATGTAGTTTTTCGCATTTACTTTATATTTTTTTTCCTGACATGGGATCCCATGACCCCCATGGGTATATTGATTTATGCTCGCGCCAGTTTTCATTTCACAATTTTCACTTATGTATGGCAGTTTATTGCAGTCCTCATCTGCACTCAGGCTCAGCATTTTCCCCAGCTCCCGTTCATACATTCCCTTAGTCCTTTTCCCCTGCTGCACGTGCCTGGGTTGGGCTGGTTATTCTAAATGCAATGTTTGCGGCCCAAGGCTGCGACAGAACTGAAATGTTCCGTGCCGCCGCCATCATCAACAGGCTCTTAAATGCCTAAACATGCACGGAGAACAATGGTTCATTTCAAAGGATGAGTTTCAAAAATTAATATATAAATATTTAAAATAAATTTAAGATATTTTATAATTGTATATAATTTGTTTTTGTTTTGTTTTGTACTAGTAAACATGGTTTTCTTGGCTTTAAAATACAATTAAAATGTTTAAGAAATCAATGATATTTTCCGGCAGTGCAGGGATGATGAATACTACTAATGCTGATGGCTAGAAAAACTGAGATAGCGAGGGCACGTAGCTGAAACTGAGATTTGTGCCGCATTAGAGGATGTCAAGTATTCAATCTGCTTGGAATTAAGCCACGGCACCTTTAAGATGCGGATTCCCATTGTGACCGGCCGGCGAACCGTCACTTAGTCAGCCGGCAGTGCCCAGAATGTGGGCAAAACAGTCAAGTGCACTCAGCGTTGCATATGGTGATGGTGATGTGGGTTGGACCAAGTGCAGCAGGGATGAGGAATAAAGGAGAAGCATACCAAAGAGCTATCTCCGAGGCCAACTGCTCGAGAAGCGCCCCCAAGACATGCGGCTGTCTTCGTCCACTGAAGACCACTTCATGGATGTTGGAGATGCCGGGTCTTATTTGCTTGGCAAGTGCTCCAAGGAATGCCGCCACTCAGGTGTGTCGGCCAAACAAAAGAGGGCCCAAAGCCGAAAAGAAATCAGCCGAAAGGACTCTGATAGCCAGTAAGAGAGCAGCTCAGACCAGACCGGAACCTGCACTTGTCCATTAATTCCCCAGGTAGACAGTGGGGCCACTTTCACTGCCACTACCAATTTCAGCCAAGAAAAGCCGCTTAGTGCCGGATGGTCGGCTAAGGCGTTTTATTTGATTATTTTTCTGCTAATAAGAATAAGTAAACATCCTAAGCAGACCTCCATCACCTTAATACAAATTGAGTAAACAAAGCCGTCCATTGTTGAATGAGGAAAAAAAAGGAAATAATTTAAGGAGAGGTATTTTCCATGACAACCTATTACCTTTGGGGAATTACCAATGACTTTACATGAATTATGAGGTATAATTTATCTTATTATTTTCTTGTTAGATTAAATTTAATGTTTTTAAGCGTTTAAGTGCATTTGTAGCGAAATTATAGACATTACTGTACTACTGAAATATAAATAAAGAATAACTAAAACCAACTAGAGCCACAGAATGTCATCTAAAAATAAAATTTATGCCCTTGGCCAAGGAATTTTATGGAAAACTACCATGCTGTAAATTTTTAGTTGCATTTTCCTTTGAATTTAATATAAAAGCAACGCAATTTGACGTCCGATAATAAACTGCAAATTAATTAAATCTGACATTTGGCCCAGCTTCTGTGTCAGAGTTTGACTTGCAGAATTTACAGAATTTTTTGGCATTAGAAAGTATTTGATGTTTCCCAGATTAACATTTCGTTTTGAAAGGGGAAATGCGGGTTAAGGCAAGAGACAGCTTAATTTGCAATTCGGATCGAATATTGAATTGAATATTGTACAGAATGAGACATTTTAAATGCCAATACTCGCTTGGAGCTTGCTGATTGGTAATGCCCTGGTAATTGTGAGAAGCATCAACAAAAGTAAATAGCCGAAATGTTCCAAGGCAAATAAGGTTCAGCAACAAATTCCAAGTTAAACAAGTGTGATCAAAGGACTCAAGCTGTTTGCACAAATGTGGGGAATCTAAAGATTTAAATCGGGAAATGGCCATATGAAAGGGACGAGTGCTGCGCTTACCTGCTGTGACTATTGAGTTATTTTGTTTTCGCCAACTTAAAAAGGTCACAATGCTTATTTTCGCTTGTGCGTTGTCCAATGCAACTTTTATTCAACTCCAATTGCGTCCTTATTCAACTGGGACTGGGAATTCTTTTAGCCACGACTGCTTGGCTCTGCTGAATCTTTACAAAGTTCACTTTTTATAGTTTGTCCTGGGACAGGTCCGAAGTTGGCCATTGCCAAATGGCGCCAAACGGACTCGAAACTTTAACTCGATTTTTGGCGATTACCCGGAAAAGTTATACTCCTGAATTTTTAAGCGGCTTTAACAGTTCCTTTTGATGACTTTGCGGCTTTTACGCGCTTTCATCCAAAGCTATTACTTTGTTTACACGCGGCGTATACGCAATTTTTAATTAAACCGCCAATTCCCCAGCTAGGGGATTGCAGTCTCCGATGTCCCGAATATTTCCAGAGCTGCAAGCTAACTGACTGAGGACTCGCGTACGACTGAGCCCCAGGAGGCAGCAGCTGGTGTTTTTATCAATGAAAATTGTTGCTTGTCGGCGGCATCCTTTTCCGAACGGAGGATGAAAAAGCGCCAAAGAGAAAAGCTACGAGCGAGCAGGCGCAAAAGAGAAAGTTCCTTGGATGCTCTTAAGCGACGCAGCCTGTGGTTTTCCCTGTTAACCTGGCCTAATGCCTCATATTTGCCAAGGCTTTTCAGGTTTCATTATTGCCACTTGTATGTTGTTCTTAGGCTCTCGCCCGACGAAGAGTATATCGTTGTATCTGCATCCGCACCTGGTCAGTCATTGGCTTTGTGGAGTCGGTCATTTCTGATGGGTCCTGTTTCCGGTTGCCATGGGGGTTTCATTGATAAGAGGCGTTAAAGTCCAGGGGGAGGGAACTCGGTTGAGGTTGCAGGTGTGCGTGCCTAAAAGGCCGCAAGAGCAGCTCTTAATTTAATATGCTCAAAAATGCAGATGTGAATGGGTGCCGTTGACAACAGCTTCGCACGAATTATGGAGCTTTGGTAAACTATTTGAACTTTAATTTTGTATTTAGCAATTTATTAAATACCTTGTGAAGATGATGTAATGAAGTCTAATGCTTCATTTGTTAAGGGGATTCAAGGAAATGCATTTGTAAAAACAATACGAAATAATTAATTTAATTAATACCTATTTTAAATATTTTATTTTAAATAAAAGTACTCAGACTTATTCATTGTTATTCATTATTTCATGTAGTGTTCCTTTTTCCAATACAATTTATTTAATTAAATTCCACACCTATATTTTACTATTAATTCCTTATAAGTACAAGGAGATTTATCAGGTTCAAGGTCCATAAATCTTTAAAATTAATATCACTCTTTAAGCCAGCGCATAGGCCACCTTGGCTTATTGTTTTTGAGGAATTTATGCGGTTGACTGCGGCGCGAAATAGTTTAGTTCGAGCGGCGATGACAAACTGGCAACTGGCAGCATTTTGCCGGGCCGGGCATCGTCATCGTCATCATGAACCATTTCAGAGCCCGTAAATTGAGCAAAGCCAAGCCGCAAGCTGGTCGGCAGTTGCACTTTAATTAAAAATAAATACGGATAAAGGCCGCTTACCCTTATCCCCTCCTCGCAAATGCCAGCCACTCGTCTAATTCTAATGATTATTGATGTGGCTGCTGATGAAATGCCTGTTTACAGTTGGCTTCTGGTTCTGGTCGAGATTCTGGATTCAGAGGCAGCTCTCTGACCTGTCCAACAATGATTGCTGTTCCCCATATAGTCTGGCGTACGGCAGACTGGCCCACAATTACGGTTAATGCTCTGGGTTATCTCCTGGCATTTGTGCCGATTTATGCTTTTTTATTTACATTTTATTTTGTTTGTAATTATATGTATTTTTTGTTTGTTTTCCGGCTGTTGGCAAGTGCTCCTGGTTAAACTTGGCCAAAGTGAGGGCTTGTAATCAGGAAAAATAAAAAAACATTCAGCTCTAATGGATGTTTACATATTTTCCAATTTGAAATTTGAATACTCTTTGTGAACTTTACTTGTAAACATACTTTGGGTCTGTGCAAATAGTAATTAAATGGGCTATTTCAATATTTTAAAGAATAATTTACTTATTAAACTATCAAAAAGCTAAGACTTATAAGAGTCTATAATTGAAATAAATACAATTAAAGAACAAAATCCATAAAATGGCTTTTTAAATGGTAATCATAACTTTTGATAGTCCAAACAATTTGCTTAAATTTTAAAGACCCCAAAAAAGAGTATTTCAACATGCGGCACACTCTCGCAGGTGAATGAATCGACGTGTGTTGTGTGTTGTCTTCCCGGGTTAGATATTAAAAGTTTTGCTTTGTGGGGCTAAATTATACGACATTTACGCATTCGCCGCCGGTTGGTAGTATATTTTGTTTTCAGTTTGTAAGTCAAAGCACGAAAAAAGCACTTACTCTCTCTCACAGTCCCTGTCTCTGTCTCGGCGTGTACTTCTGGTTCCGTAAACCTAAAAAATACGAAAAAATGAAACCCGAGCAGAGTAATTAGTGACTTGTACAAAAAATAAATAAATACAAAAAAGTCTGTTATAAAGCGGGGCATAGCTTAAGCGTAAACGTAAACGTAAGTGTTCTCTGCGCAGCGCAACTTTTCCAGATTTCAGACTCTGTGCTTGTGGAACCAGACATTTCGGAGGTCGTTTTAATACACGCCTCAGCTCCGGTTGCCCAAAATCTCCGAAATCTACGACAATGCAAATGCTTAACAGCTTCACTCAAAAATTTCCACTGCCAAAGCCGCCGAACTTTGGCGGGATGAGTCAGTAATCGACGCGGTGAGTAGATGATGGAATTGGGTTAAAAAATCACCGAAAATTATGAGACAGCAAGGTTCTAGACCTTAGCCAGAGCACTTAATTAATGTGATGAATTTTATTAATTTATTAATCTACCAATCGGCGGATTTAAATAGTATTAAAATGCTAAATGTGGTATACGATATTTATATTATATTTTTTTGTGAGAAGTTTGCACAGTCAACCAACCTTATAAATCATAAATATTTTTTAATCACTATCAACAACCGAGTCAAAGTGAAAGTTACCTATTTTTTTATAATGTAACCCATGTACGAATTAAAATTGTTGTTTAATGGGCTTATAAAACTGCTTTTAAATCAGGACAAGCCCTACGTTTATAGAAAAAACACCTAAGCCCTGCGCTTATCTAGGTTCCAGCGTTAGTTAATTGATTTAATCGATCTATTTTAATTTAATTATTAGGAGTACTCAGCTTACAGTGACAATTTAATTACGTAAAAATTTTATACCTTTATAAAATAGGTACATAAATTTGAACTATGTTTTCTTGGACTGAAATCAACAAAGTTTCCAGATCTACACTTGAAATTCTAATAAATGAAAACCTTTCTTAGCCATTCTAAGAACACATTTGAAATCTCGGAATATGTAAACTTATCACAGGTTACATTTATTGCTTCCAGAGAACAAATCAATTTAATGGCGTTGCGTTAATCTGTTTGTGTTTTGAGTTTTAATAGAATGAGTATTATTGATCGGTTCGGGTTAGGGTTCGGGGGTCGGGAGCCGGCGAAAGCCCTCGATGTCGAGGGAAATGGTTACGCAGTGCAAGGCAAACACGGGCTGCAACAATGCGATTAGCATGCAATAGTAATGCCATTAAGTATGCACAGTACATTTCCATTGCACAGCGATTTGCGGCTGTGACATGTGATGCCAAGATAAACAGCCAGGCAATCAGACTAAGTATCGCCCAGATACGAATACCAACCGGAGATAAGCCCTTCGATCCCCTGCTCTTCGCAGGGCTAAAGGTTATAGATACCTGCATAAATTCATATATATATAACCCACAAATGAACAATGCTTTTTGCTGTCGATCAACGAAGGCCTGCGGTTTTGTAACCCCCTCAACTCAACTCGACTCGCTTCGCCTCAAGTCCTCACTCTCTCTCGAGGGCTCTTGGCTGGTGGGTCTCTCAAACAATCGTAATTTGACTTTCCAGAGTCGCCGCTAGGTCTTTCCCCGACTTGGATTACCGTCTTCATTGCGGTTATCCAATTCCGGCAGTTACTCATCGACTTTTGATTTACGCACGCACGCAATTAGTCATTCCGCAATAAAACATGAAGCCTGGCTTTTTTTCGCCACTCGAATCGCTCATACCCTCTGCTACCTTAGATCTGGCGTAATAGCAAAGCAATTAAAGAGACATAAGACCAAAATAGGGAGCCAAACTAACGGAAAACTTCAAAGCTAGGGGTGATAGTGTAAGATAGTGTAAGAGTACAGTCTTGGTTATTACATTAGGAACAAGGTTGTTGAGGAAACAGATATATTAATAAATTGAAGGTATATTTAGGCTTAATGAAATATGAAAATATAAAGATATAGCTGAAATTGTATTATACTTTGATAGGTTGATATTTTACCAAAATTTAAAAAACCTTTAAAGGACCATTCTATTCATTAAACATTTTATAATTATAACATTAGATATAAAAGTAATACAAATTGTTAAGTAAAAACTTTCAAGTAATAAAAACTTCCTAAAAATATTAAAAAATAATATATTTTAGTTACATATAACTTCAACTTTATATAGTAAAGGATACCTTAAAGTCGGTATCATCCCCTCAAATAATCAGTGTAATGAAGGAACCCCTGAAATTCTACCGTTGCTGCTTTTATTTTGAGTAAACTCTAACTTTTAAGTGGAATTATACCATAGTAATACAAAAATTCCAAGTATTCCATAAACTGCCATTCAATGGCAAGGCTAGGGCACCGAAATGATTAACCTTTTAAATTTCCATCGCCCATTTGGTGGGCGCTTCTTCGGCACTCGAGTGGCTAGCAGTAGTAGTAACAGTGCCATCCCCTGGGCTCCAACTCGATTGGCGACAAAACAACACCGTAGTAGCCGCCTCCAGCGAGTCGATATAAGTTGCGGCGTCGACGAGGCCCTAACCGCAGTTGTGTGACCGCGTTCGGCGGGCGAGCACGGAAAAAAGACAGTAGTGGGACAGTGTGGAACGGGAATACCTCGCCAAGCCGTCGGATTTGTGGTCTGCCTTAAAATAGTTACAGTTCGTAAATTAGCCGCAATCGGTGACAGTGCCCCAAAAGCCTGATAAGGCGGTCAGAGTTCCGGGAAAAGTGACTCCGAGTCGCAGCGCAACCATGCGGAGGAGGTGTAATACCCTGGCAATTGTCATTGCCCCGATCTTGATTTGTGGTGAGCTATATGGCAAAAACAAAGGTGTACTAGTAATTTGATCGTAAAGAATTGTTGACCGAATGTGCGTTAATCAAGATACGAGGCTGGCAAATAGGCTTTGCACACATTCCTCCTATCATCTGTGGCGGCCGAGTGTTTTCATAACTAAGTGCGGCAAATATTTAAACAATTGTCAGGACTGTGATAGTCAATGCAACACGGAAAGAAAAATGTCAAAGAAATTGCGCTGCTTTTTAATAAGGAAGCAAAGCAAAGAGAAAAGATTGTAGATAGGAGAGCCTCTTTAGTTACTTCTTAATGGTCAGATTTGATTTAAAATTATTTAAGGAAATGAAAACATTTATTAGAGGACTGTCAATATAATATTGTTCGCTGTGTAGTCACCGACCCTAACTGGATTGTTACATTGTCGCCAGACTCTACAGAAAAAAAGTGCTTAAATAAATCATTATCATTTCATAAGCCTCTCGATTATCTTTGTTATAAATCAACAAGGAAATAGAGCAAAAATCACAGTGTGAAGTTTTAATGACCATCTTAGGCGTATCAGTGTTTTACAATTTTGTCTGCGATACGAATGTTTGTTTATTTCTAGCCAGTTAAGAGTTTGGTCACCTGATTGATCTTCAACCTTCTGACTGTCATAGGTTTCTGGTTTCTTGATTATTCACCGCCATTGTCCACGATGATCACGCATGATTTTAAACAAAAAAAAAAGCCCCAAAGCAACTTTTTTGTAGAAAATTGTTTCAATTATCCCTGCTATTTAATTTGATTTAATAACGGTGTGAGCTAATCTAGTAACAATATACTAAACAGGCCGCTAATAGAAATTAGTCCATAATTTAACCAAATTCCCCATAAATCAGGAGAACTGTTAATGGCAAATAATTCGGTTGAAGCGTTTCGCTAATTTCGTTAGCACTTTTTATGCCTGAATGTTTGGTGTTTTGTTTGAAAATTGAAAGTATTACACAGCTTATGATTACAACTGCACCCCTTTTTCCAATGGGCGGAATATTAAAAGCTGCAATAAACTTTACATGGCTAATTGTCGCTCGATTGATGCTAATTGAATGAGCAATTACGGCTGTCTAGTTGTGTTTGAACTCAATCCATCGCAGTGACGACAGACAGCGACACCGGCACTGCATTAATAAGATGTGCAAAATTAATAGGACACACATATGTATTATTTATAGCTTTCGCCGTGTCCGAAAATAGTTGATATCTTGGTCAAACTGGTATCGCTGATTACACACCCACTCGATGTCACGAAATGTCACAGACATTCAACCAATTAGCACCTGCTGGAGTTCGATTAACCGTCTCTGTTTGCTTTTCTCAGACATAGAAATCAAGTTATCACAAAGTCCACATTATATATTTAATTTGTGAATATTTTTGGTAACTTTTACTTACTACTTATATGCATTTTTTAGCCTTGACAGTCCTGGCCCAGGACTTTGGTTACGAGGGCAGACATGGACCCGAGCACTGGAGCGAGGACTATGCCCGTTGCAGTGGCAAGCATCAGAGTCCCATTAACATCGATCTGGTCAATGCCGTGGAGAAGAAGTTTGAAAAGCTGGAGTTTTTGAATTTCCATGTGAAGCCCAAGAATTTTCAAATGACAAACAATGGCCACACGGTGCTGGTAAAGCTAACCTACGACGAGGACAAGGTGCCGAGTGTGAGGGGAGGTCCTTTGTCAGAGAAGACCCTATTGGGTTACCAGTTCGAGCAGTTCCACTTTCACTGGGGCGAGAACGATACGGTGGGCAGTGAAGACCTGATTAATAATCGTGCTTATCCTGCTGAGCTTCATGTGGTCTTGAGAAACCTCGAGTATCCGGATTTTGCCAGTGCTCTGGATAAGGATCATGGCATTGCCGTGATGGCTTTCTTCTTTAAGGTGAGATGAACGTCTGAAATGAGGCTAGAAAACTCTTTATTGACTGTATTTTTATTTTAATTAACTAGATTAACTACCGTTCCTCTGATGGATATGAGAAGTTTGCAAAGTTACTCCCTCAGATCGACCGGAAGGGCAAGTCGGTGAACATGACGGAACCAATAGCCCTGGGAGAATACATTTCCGAATACTTGGACAGCTACTATAGCTACACGGGTTCATTGACAACACCGCCGTGCAGTGAGGAGGTTACCTGGATCGACTTTACAGAGCCCATAGACATCACTGAGAAGCAGGTAAATGTCTAGGAATAATAATTTTTTAATAAAATGGTTATTTAATTGTCATTGTAATTTTCCCCATTGCCAGCTAAGTGCCTTCCGCCTGCTGACCGCCAACGATGACCATCTGAGGAACAATTTCCGCCCCATTCAACCCCTCAACGATCGCACGCTGTACAAAAACCTAGTGGAGTCGCCGATTTACAACATGGGCTCCATACCGTTCGTCAATGCGGCCAACGCAGCTGGCAGGTGGAAACCCCACTTCGTGACCGCCCTGCTCCCCGGATTCGGCCTCTTGACCCTGCTAAGAGCCACCGTTTTCAGGGGTTTTTAATTAGAGCTCTGCGACGAGGAATCGAAGGTTAAATCGTTAAATGCCTGGCATGCGCGGTTAGGCGTCCAATTAGGCGCTGCAATGTACATGTTCTGCTCCTGCTCCAAGCCGGCATTGTTTGTTGTTCCAAGCACGAGTCCCGTCCCTTTCAGTAATTTCCTTAACACGGGGTCCTGCCGGCAGGACACTGTATATACCGATGGAGACAAACAACGTGGCGGGGCAGGCGGAGTAATTATTAAAACGGAACCTCAGCTGGCACGATACCCTACTCATCAATTATGCAGCGCCTCTCGCCAGGACTGTCAATCGCATTGTATTCGTATCCGCATCCGCACCCCAATCCGTCCAAAGAGGACTTTGCGTATCCATCTCCTCGGTGCGTAGGGAGTCGTCCGCCTGGCATTGCACATTGTGATTTTAAAGGCTTGACGCACAAGCAAATCTTTATATTCGTGTATTCTAGCTTTAGGCTTTGGCAAACATTAAGCTGTAATGAAATGTATTTGTTTTTTAAATTATATTTGCATGAGTTGCCGTAGCGTGTAACGGCTTTAAGTGAAGTCACTTGTTTTAAAAGCGATAGCTTAAATCAAATAAATTCTATATTTAATGTAAACAAATTGTCTACGTTAAGTGAGTTACTAAAAGTCATTTTTTGCAATAAAACTTTTTGTATACATAAGAAATACAAGTTTTTTTTACAATCAATAAAAAGTCAACTTTTTGTGGCTTTGTAATTAATTACATTAAAAAGCTTTACGTAGTGGACTTTAAAATAAATGTGCCTGGAAGCTGTTTATTAAATTAAGGGAGTTTGAATTTTTCTGACATAAGATAATTTATCTGTTAAGCATTTTATGAAGTGTATACTATGACTTATTGTAGTTTGTAGAAGACCCGCTGAATTTTTAAAATTTTTTAACATTAATTGCACTATGCAAACTTATTTCAGATCTAAAAATTAACTCAGAATAGCTTTTTGAATGAAAAATAATGAATTTTTGGCTTAGTTATCAATTGCAAGTTCGGTTCTGCTCCCATAGCAAACTGGAAGGCTATACGAAGTTCGCTCCCCATCTTGCTTATTTTTATAGGGAACCCTTTTTCGCTTACGTTTCTAATTATTTAGCCCAGTAGAGTGCAAACCTTTCCTTAAGGAAAAAAAATATGGTTTCCTAATTATTCCTATTAAAAGAATATAGCTCCTTTTATTATACCCTTGCAGGGTATTATAATTTCAGTCAGAAGTTTGCAACGCAGTGAAGGAGACGTTTCCGACCCTATAAAGTATATATATTCTTGATCAGCATCAACAGGGGAATCTTTCTAGATCTGTCAGGAAAAAATTGATTTTTTGGCCATTTTTCAAAACTTTATAAGGGGTTACATCATTAAAATTTTTGATTTTGATAAAAAATTGAATTTTCAAAATTAAATGAAGTATGCAGATTTATTAACTGTAGAAAATCTAGCACAGAACAGTTTTCCGATTTAAAATGAATGCTCTTTTGCCCGAGTTATGACATTTTTAATTTAAAAAAAAATCAAGAAGTTTTTTAATATAAATAATCAGATTTTATAATACAAAATAATATTTTTCTAAGTCAAGGAATCATTTCCGACCCCATAAACCATATATATTCTTGATCAGCATCAACAGGGGAATCTTTCTAGACATGTCCGGAAGAAATCGATTTTTTGGCCATTTTTGCGAAATTTGATAAGGGGTTACATCATTAAAATTAGCGAAAATGGCCAAAAAGTTTGATTTCCTAAAATTTTATATTTGGTATGCAGTTTTTTTAAATTAATAAAAACTAACACAAAACTGCTTTCCGAATCGAAATTAATGCATTTTTGGCTTAGTTATGATATATTTTAATTGTTACCTGCAAGGGTATACAAACTTTGGCTGGCCAAAGTTAGCTTTCTTTCTTGTTATATATTTAACGCATTCTAGAAATCAGCACAATAAAAGTCTTAAGCTGGCAGCCGAGTGTACTTTTGATGACCCTCTGATCCCGACTGTCCCGAACCTGATGAATTATTGCAAACATGTGCACAAATCTATCAGCGAAATATCAACTTTTGAATACAAGTCGAAGAGTTCGTCTGGCGAAAGTCGAGCTCGCGAACATGATTTATTAGAAATTATTTATGGCTCGTAGTAAGAACGGTGGAGACTTGCTATAAAGCACACACCGGAAGCAACAAATTATCATACAACAAATATATATTTTTAATAGATAATAAAAGCCATAGTAAGATATAGCAAATATATAAGACCTTTATTTTTATTAAAATTAAAAAAAAAAAATACTCATACGATTTCGATTAATTAAGTTAATTCTGTAAGCCAAAGCAATAGCTCACTATAGTTCCAAAACGGATTGATCATCGTTGTTTGTCATTTGGCTTCGCTCTGCGTCTAGATGCCTTGTCCTTGTGACCCCTCGAACTTTACGTATGATCCCTCTGCTAATTATAGCATAATTTGTGGCTTTTTAATTGGCTTATCATTGTTGTTTATTAATGCGATCGATCTGTCTGATAGTAAGGCCATTTGGCCTAGAACTTGAGGTCAATGCCACTAGGAAAGGAAATACAAAAAATATCTAGATAGAAAAAGGAGAATACTATAAATAAAAGCATTGTGAAGCGTAAACAATTTCCGTTTGTTTTTATATAGGCTTGGCAGTGAAGTCTACTTTCCCGCTTTCCGCGATTGCATTCCCCGGCACGTTCTTACTTAATTGATGACACCAACAGCATCCAGCATCAATAGAAATATTATGAAACTTTTCCATTGCCGCCCCAGCATCTCCACCCTCGAGTTCCGTGCGAATTGCCCCCCAAATACGTTAGGTGATAAGATTTATTGACAGCGCTCGTTACAAACTGACCCCTCTGGTGACGAACGCCGCGATACTGCGCCTCGGGAAACATGGAACAAGCCCCTCCGGCCCAGATCCACGCCTCAGAATAGCTGGAATAGCCGCGATCAGTCCGCCCCTTCGTGGGCAGTGTGAAATCGAAAATTTTTTGTAGTTCGCACTTGCGGCGTGTGTGAGTCCGGATCGAAGCGAATCGGCGGGGATCGACGTCATGTAGACGACTGACTGATAACTTTTCTTTAGGCAATCCCCCCCTTGATGGCACATTAAGCTTTAGCTTGATGACTGTGTACCCAGATTGCGGGCCTTTGTTGCTACTTTTAGACGTCCGAAACGGGACGCTGGATCTAGAGCTTTGGTTCTCTGGCTACGGATCTTGGGCTGTGCCTTCCTGGCGGTTGTTCAAGGTTAGCCTTAGCCCCGAGAGCTATCGGAGGAATTTTTAGGGGGCTAAAATTCGTGACATTTAAACCGAAGGGAAAACAACAAATCCAAGCCTAGACATTTGCTAAAGACATGCCAAAAACGCTTGAAGGTGAAACGATATTTTCTTCTAAAAAAAGGTAGGAAAATATTATAAAGTTGCAGGAAAAAAAATATCTCGAATGTAATACAAATGCAGTATTTAAAAATTTTATTGAGAACTTAAATTACTAATGGAAAAAGGCATTAGTTCTTTATCGACAATACAAAATCAATATTTGTATGTTTAATCCTCTGAGAATTGGATTTCCATTAACTGGATTACTTTTCTAATGAAAATATAGGACGTTTATCTGTTGTAATCATATTTATTGATTTTAATACAATGCATGGATTGCAACCATAAGCATATAAACCAACTTGCAACAATCTAGTTCTTGAAAACATAATCTTAAAAGTCCTTTTGGAAACCTAAAATCCATTTGATCAATTCTACCCTTATCAATCCCCTTTCTATTCAGAAATTGTTATGAATCCTCGCTCAACGACCTTAATAATCGTTCAGGCCCAGTCTCGTAATCCAAAACGGTGGCCTTGCACTTGATCCAGATATATACACTCGCGAGTATTATGTATGCGACATGGCGTTATCAGTCAAGTGCAGCTTCCATTTTTACGACTCTGTGGAGCAGAAATAAAACGCAGCTCTAGATAAGTAAAACCGGCGTTGTGTAGGCGCCCCAGACTCCTGATAATGAATTATTAAAAAACCTAATGCAAGGAAAGGGTCCAACGTTTTTCCCCTCTTACAAGATAGTATACAACTTTGAGCCGGGCCTTAGGCATAGCTGAGATAATGAATAGGGAGAGGCAGCACGGGAAGCGGTGCAGGCGACTCTCGTATTTTGAAAAATAACACAAATACTATAAATCATTTTCGAGTACACTTAGGAGAGATGAGAGTGTACTATAAAGAATGAAATTGTGATTGTGAATTCCGTTAAATTTCCAATGGACGGCAGACTATAAAAGTGTGAGGTCTAAGCGGCAAGCGATTCAAAAGTGTTTTGCTTGCTCAACGGCGCGGTGCTACCTAAAATCAAATTCAATTTCTATAAATATTACCTAACGTCCTTAGTTATTCAATATGAGAATTCTAGCGGAGGTAAAGAAATGTTTGCTTTGTTTTTAAAGTGATTTTCATCATTTTGTTTTGGTGTGTAATTGTTAGAACCATGTCCATCTTTTGGATCCCTCGGAGCTGCTGCGGCCAGAGCCCACATTTGCTGACAAGAATCCCTCCAAGTTCCGCGACTACAGTGTGGACACCACAGATCCCTTGAAGGAGCGCGTGCGTCAGACCTATCGTCAGATGCACTTGAATCAGACCGTGGACTTTGTCAAGGGTATGTGTGGATCTAATTTCCGATTTTATCAGTTAAATAATAGTGTGGAATTTGCTCTTTAAGTTCTTGGAGTAGTAAGACCCATAAGGATATTATTAAAAAGCTACATTAACCCCTTTGCAGGTCGCCGTGATCGCTGGCTTAAATTCAACACCATTAAGATGACGGTGCGTGAGGCTCTGGAGAAGCTAAACGATCTGGTGGACGAGTCCGATCCCGATCTGGATCTGCCCAACATCATTCACGCCTTCCAGGCTGCGGAGCGGGCAAGAGCTGAGTTCCCAGAGCACGACTGGCTCCATTTGACGGCCCTTATTCACGATCTGGGTAAGATCATGGCCTTTTACGATGAGCCACAGTGGGCTGTGGTGGGCGACACCTTCGCCGTGGGTTGCCGTTGGGGCGACAGTATCGTCTATCGGGATGAGAGCTTCGAGGGTAATCCCGATGGGGATAATCCCGCCTACAATACGGAGTACGGCATCTATGAGGCCAACTGTGGCGTGGATAATCTATTGATGTCCTGGGGCCACGATGAGTACATGTACAATGTGCTGAAGCACAACAAGACCAAGCTGCCCCATGTGGCCTGCAACATCATCCGCTTCCACTCCTTCTATCCGTGGCACAATGGCGGTGACTACAAGCACCTGGAGGCCGCCAAGGATGAGGAGACCAAGAAGTGGGTCCTGATCTTCAAGTGAGTGTTTGTTTTTATTTAGATATATATAATAATAATATATTGATAATAATTTCTTGCAGTCGCTACGATCTGTACACGAAGAGCGAGGTAGTTCCGGATATTGATGCCTTGTGGCCTTATTATCAGACCTTGATCGACAAGTATCTGCCAGGAGTTATTGAGTTCTAAGAGGAAGAAACTAAACCATTATCCTTAATTTACTCAGAAGGACTAACCTAAGTTCCTTTACCTTATACCATATATATATATATATACTTGTAACCTAATTTACTACAAATTTATACTTGTTATATTACCAATATACAAATTATTTACAAATACTAAACTTTAATATTGTTATTTGTTGATTAAGAATAAGAGGAACACAACTACTTACAAAGCAAGCTTAATGCTTCTTGATGAGTTTCTTATACTAAAACAACAAGTTTGTCTATCCTTGCAGTTTGGAAGGGTTACAAGTACTAACTGGTTGGAAATGACTCCTTCACTGCGTTACTAGTTTCTGTCTGAAATTATAATACCCCGCAAAAATATAAAAAGTGGTCCTAATCAAGACTATAAGAGTAAAGTTCATTTTACAAATGTTATGTAGAATGATTTCTAATCCAAAACTGCCTAAACATATGTGACGGTTTATTAGCAATCAAGAAAAGCTTATAGAACTCCCGTAGGGCCCGCTTTCTTTTTGAGATTAGATTTCCAAAGCCTTGAAGGCGGTTAGCTGAGCTTTTCATTGAGAATCTTTTTGAATTATGACTTGTCATAGCCGCGATAAGAGCATAGCTAGTCTATGTCAACGCCCTTTGATTTATAGAAACTATTTAAGAAAAAATGTCTATAATCGACCTAAATGTTTTTGAATTTATTCTGTATTCTCTGTTTGTTTTACAAGTCTCTTGAAAAGAATTTCTGATAAACAGATTACAAAAATATCATTTTATACATTAGACTATGAGTACGTTTTATTAAAGGTATTTTTAAAGATTTAAACAAACAAAATCTGCTCACTTTAGGCATTTCATTTCATACCTCGAGGTGTAATCCAATTAAGCCTATTCTTTAATTTGCAGATACTGGATTCAATCTTTTGAATTGTCATACACTATAATTGTATTTAAGAAGTTCTTTGGGCACTGAAGCTCAAAAATCTTTAAATATTAAAAACCATGACTAGCGCTTATAGAAAAACTAGTTATAAATAAGAAAATATTGTAAGTAACAGTTGCAACAAATAAATAATTCTGGATGCTCTTCTAGAACTTTGCATGCAATAAATTACTTAACTTTTTTAGCTATTCCTATTATTTAATTAAAATATCTGGACATCCGTGTACATTTTAAAAGCATGCATAGAAAGTAATTAATCAAGTAGACTTGAGCGGAATTGTATAATAGCAGAGCTGGGATCAAGTGGGATTGGCAGTTGTAAGGCTGTTCAGAAAAATTAAACTAAAAATAAACAGGCTATATCGATGCAATAGGCTGTCTGAATTTGCATACGGTTATCAAACGGACGTCCGTCTGTCCACACATGAGAAATCTCCTAATCTGGTGGCGTGCCCAGATCAATTGCGACTGGTTGGACAGGTGGCCGATAAGCCGACGGATCGAATATAAGCGCCACAATCGCTACTGCTCCAGATAGTTGTGCTCTGGATTTCACGGAGTGAGCACCATGAACGCCGTGAGATTGTTCTTTGCCCTAAGTTGCCTGTGGATCGGTTCCTCTGCTGGAGATGCGAACGATCCGCTGCTGATTGAGCTCCAGCATGGCCAGCTGCGTGGACGCGACAATGGAAACTACTACAGCTACGAGGCAATACCCTATGCTGAGCCTCCGCTGGGAGATCTCCGTTTTGAGGCTCCGGTATCCTACAAGCAAAAATGGACGGAGACCTTCGATGCCACTCAACCGCCAGTGGTGTGCCTGCAGTGGGACCAGTTTACCCAAGGAGACAACAAGCTCGCTGGTTCGGAAGACTGCCTGACCGTCAGCATTTACAAGCCAAAGAACAGCAGCAGGAGTAGCTTTCCCGTGGTGGCACACATTCATGGAGGTGCCTTCATGTTTGGAGGAGCTGCCCAGAACGGACACGAGAACGTGATGCGGGAGGGCCAATTCATACTGGTGAAGATAAGCTATCGCCTGGGGCCACTGGGCTTTGCGAGCACCGGTGACACAGATCTGCCCGGAAACTATGGCCTTAAAGATCAGCGTCTGGCTTTGCAATGGATCCGGGAAAACATTGCAAACTTTGGTGGAGAACCAAAGAATATACTGGTCATAGGACACTCCGCTGGAGGAGCCTCTGTCCATTTGCAACTGCTCCGTGAGGATTTTGGCAAGCTGGCCAAGGCAGGGATCTCCTTCAGCGGCAATGCCCTCGATCCCTGGGTTGTCCAGAAAGGTAGCCGCGGAAGAGCCTTTGAACTGGGCCGCATTGTGGGCTGCGGATTGTCTAAGGACTCTGCCACTCTGAAGAGTTGCCTAAAGTCTAAGCCAGCCGACGAAATAGTGACTGCTGTACGAAACTTCCTTATATTCTCCTATGTGTCCTTCACACCCTTTGGCCCTGTAGTGGAGCCGAGTGATGCAGCAGACGCCTTCCTCACTCAAGATCCCGTGGATGTGATCAAGAGTGGAAAGTTTGGACAAGTGCCCTGGGCGGTGACCTATGTCACGGAGGATGGTGGCTACAATGCTGCTTTGCTTCTGGAAGGAGGCAACAAACCCGGACAGACACTGCTCGAGGAACTGAATGATCGCTGGTTTGACTGGGCGCCTTATCTGCTCTTCTACCGGGACTCTAAGCAAACCATTAGGGAAATGGATGATTACTCACGGAAACTGCGGCAGGAATATCTGGGAGATCGGCGGTTCAACGATGAAAGCTATTGGGACCTGCAGCAGTTGTTTACAGACATCCTATTCAAGAACAGCACACAGGACTCATTGCAACTCCACCGGAAATTCGGAGCAAGTCCTACCTACTCGTTTGTCTATGACAATCCGGCGGACAAAGGAATCGGAGAGGCACTCACCACAAGGAGGGATGTCAAGTTTGGTAAGTTTAACGCGTTTCTTCGAATTCCTTTTATTAATTTTCTTCTCTCTACAGGAACTGTGCATGGAGATGACTACTTTTTGATATTCGAAAACGTAGTACGCAATCCACAATTACGTCCAGATGAGGAGATGATTTCTAAGAACTTCATAAAGATGCTTGGAGACTTTGCTGTCAGCGACAAAGGCATTCTTACCTACGGGGAGTGCACTTTCCAGGATAATGTAGGCAGTGAGACTTTTAATTTGCTTTCGATAACGCGGGACGGTTGCGAGAATAAGCAATATGTTGAGTTTCCTTAGGGTTCTTGATTTTAATAAAGGAGTCCAAAATAATTCCCATAAGTTCTGCAGTAAAATATTCCCTGTGTTGTTTTTATTTGAATGCTAAATTGCTAAAGAACTAAGTAATTGTTTAACTTATAAAATTTTTTTAAAGTTAAAAAAAAAAAGAAAATAGTTTTTTCACGTGCGTTAATAGCGTTTGACTGATATAAAAGTGGTTCTAATGAAGACTAAAAGGGTAAAGGTAATTTTACGAATTTTATTTTAGAATGCTTTCTAATCGAGAAACCGCCTAAACATATGTGATTGTTTATTAGCAGTCAAGAGAACTTATAGATCTCACGTAGGGCGCTCCTTCTTTTTGAGATTAGATTTGCAAAGATTCGCAATAGCTTAGCTTTTATTCCAGAATCTTTTTGAAATATGATTTTTCACAGCCGCGATAGGAGCCTAGCTAGTATAAACATCCTTTGATTTTTAGAAACTATTTAAGAAAATATTCTATATTTGAAAGAAATATTCCTGAGTGTATCCTTATGCTCCGTTTATTCCAAGTCGTCTTATACATAGTAACACTTGCTTACAAGTCTGTTGAAAAGAATTTCGGACCCACATTTGTATTATAAAAATATAATTTAAAATATTTTCTATGAATAAAGAATTAAACAAAACAAAAAACTGCTTTCCTTTCGTATGATATTTCTCGAGGTGTAACCCAATTAAGCGTATTATTTAAGTTGCAAATACTGAATTTAACTTTTCGAATTGAATTATAAATTATAATTGTATTAAAGAAGTACTTTGGGAACTGTAGCTCAAGAATCTTTAAATATTATAAACCATGATTAGCGCCTATGAATTAGAAATTTAATAGCAACAATACTTATAAGCAGCAACAAATTGTAACTTATCAGTTGCAACACTTACAAATTATATAGCAACAAAAGTAATAAATAAGAAAATATTGTAATTATTAGTTGCAACAAAATAAATTATTCTATATGCTCTTTTAGAAATGTTTTAATTTAGCATGCAATAAATTACTTAATTTTAGCTATTTCTATTATTTAATTATAATCCCTAGACAAAAGTGTAAAGTTTAAAAGCATTCATAGAAAGTAATTAATCAAGTTGACTTGACCGGAATTGGACTGAATATAAGCGCTACAATTACAATTGCTCCAGATAGTTGTGCTCTGGATTTCACGGAGTGAGCACCATGAACGCCGTGAGATTGTTCTTTGCCCTAAGTTGCCTGTGGATTGGTTCCTCTGCCGGAGATGGGAACGATCCGCTGCTGATTGAGCTCCAGCATGGCCAGCTGCGTGGACGCGACAATGGAAACTACTACAGCTACGAGGCAATACCCTATGCTGAGCCTCCGCTGGGAGATCTCCGTTTTGAGGCTCCGGTGCCATACAAGCAAAAATGGACGGACACCTTCGATGCCACACAACCGCCAGTGGTGTGCTTGCAGTGGGACCAGTTTACCCAAGGAGACAACAAGCTCGCTGGCTCGGAAGACTGCCTGACCGTCAGCATTTACAAGCCAAAGAACACCAGCAGGAGAAGCTTTCCCGTGGTGGGACACATTCATGGCGGTGCCTTCATGTTTGGAGGCGCTGCCCTGAACGGACATGAGAATGTGATGCGGGAGGGCCAATTCATACTGGTGAAGATAAGCTATCGCTTGGGGCCACTGGGCTTTGCGAGCACCGGTGACACAGATCTGCCCGGAAACTATGGCCTTAAAGATCAGCGTCTGGCTTTGCAATGGATCCGGGAAAACATTGCAAACTTTGGTGGAGAACCAAAGAATATACTGGTCATAGGACACTCCGCTGGAGGAGCCTCTGTCCATTTGCAACTGCTCCGTGAGGATTTTGGCAAGCTGGCCAAGGCAGGGATCTCCTTCAGCGGCAATGCCCTCGATCCCTGGGTTGTCCAGAAAGGTAGCCGCGGAAGAGCCTTTGAACTGGGCCGCATTGTGGGCTGCGGATTGTCTAAGGACTCTGCCACTCTGAAGAGCTGCCTGAAGTCCAAACCAGCCGGCGAAATAGTGACTGCTGTACGAAACTTCCTTATATTCTCCTACACGCCTTTTACTCCATTTGGCCCTGTGGTGGAGCCTTGTGATGCAGCAGACGCCTTCCTCATTCAAAATCCAGTAGATGTGATCAAGAGCGGAAAGTTTGGACAAGTGCCCTGGGCGGTGACCTATGTCACGGAGGATGGTGGTTACACTGCCGCTTCACTTCTGGAAGGAGGCAACAAGCCTGGACAGACATTGCTCGAGGAACTGAATGATCGCTGGTTCGACTGGGCGCCATCTATGCTTTTCTATAGGGACTCTATGCAATGCATTGGGGAAATGGATGATTACTCGTGGAAACTGAGGCAGGAATATATGGGAGATCGACGGTTCAACGATGAAAGCTATTGGGACCTGCAGCAGTTGTTTACGGACGTCCTTTTCAAGAACAGCACACAGGACTCATTGCAGCTCCACCGAAAATACGGAACAAGTCCTGCCTACTCGTTTGTCTATGACAATCCGGCGGACAAGGGAGTAGGACAGGCTCTGAGCAACCGGAGAGATGTCAAGTTTGGTAAGTTTAAAGCATTTCTTCGAACTTCCTTTATTAATTTTCATCTTTTCATAGGAACTGTGCACGGAGACGACTACTTTTTGATATTCGAAAACGGATTACGCAATCCACAATTACGTCCGGACGAGGAGGTGATTTCTAAGAACTTCATAAAGATGCTTGGAGACTTTGCTGTCAGCGACAAAGGCATTCTTACCTACGGGGAGTGCACTTTCCAGGATAATGTAGGCAGTGAGACTTTTAATTTGCTTTCGATAACTCGGGACGGTTGCGAGAATAAGCAATATGTTGAGTTTCCTTAGGGTTTTTAATTTAAATACAAAAATTTGTATAATTCCCATAAATTCTGAAGAAAAATATTCTCTGTGTAATTTTTATTTAAATGCTAAATTGCTAATAAACAAAATGACCGTTCAACATCATCGTTTACCCCTGAAATCTTCTCAAAACGCGTTTAATTCTTTTTTTTTTTTTTTTAATTTCCAGATGGCGCATTATTTGGCCTATAAAGCATCGAGCCAACCTTGTTTGTTGGCAGTCGCATTTCCGAACATGAGCTTATTAAGATTGCTGAGTTGCTTGTTTTTTGTGTGTATTAACTCACCAGGGATTACTCCAGTCCTCGCATCAGATCCCTTGATTGTTGAGATTCCGAATGGAAAACTGCGTGGAAGGGATAATGGAACCTACTACTGCTTCGAATCGGTGCCATACGCAGAGCCTCCAATCGGCGAACTTCGATTTGAACCTCCACGTCCTTATAGTCGTCTGTGGACGGACACCTTTGATGCCACCCAACCGCCTGTGTCCTGCATGCAGTGGAATGAATTTATCAGAGAAAGCAATAAGCTAGTGGGTCAAGAGGATTGCCTCACTGTTAGCATCTATAAACCGAAGAGCAGCAGTCGGAAGTGGTTTCCTGTTCTTGTCCTTCTGCATGGAGGTGGCTTTATGTCCGGTGGATCTGCAGTCAATGGGCACGAGTACATTATGCGGGCAGGAACTTTAATCTTGGTGAAAATAAACTACCGCGTAGGGCCGTTGGGCTTTGTGAGTACCGGAGACCGAGAGTTGCCGGGCAACAACGGATTGAAGGACCAAAGATTAGCCCTTCAATGGATTAGACATAACATAGCTAGATTTGGTGGTCTGCCAGAGAATATCGTGGTCATTGGTCATTCTGCAGGCGGAGCATCAGCCCATTTGCAGCTCCTCCATGAAGATTTCGGTGGATTGGCCCGGGCGGCCATATCGGTGAGTGGAAATGCCCTCGATCCTTGGGTCGTCCAGGAAGGTGGTCGAGGCCGAGCCTTTGAACTAGGTCGCATTGTCGGCTGTGGACTGGCTAAGGACTCCGCCACACTCAAGAGTTGCCTAAAATCCAAGCCTGCCAGTGAAATAGTGTCCGCTGTCAGCAGTTTCCTGGTGTTTTCATACGTGCCCTTCTCCACTTTTGGCCCCGTCGTGGAACCAGCAGACGCTCCCAAGGCATTCCTTACCCAGCACCCCAGAGAGGTTATAAAAAGCGGAAAGTTTGCCCAAGTGCCTTGGGTTGTCTCCCACACCACCGAGGATGGCGGCTATAATGCAGCTACGCTGTTGGAACAGAATCGAACCACCGGAGAGACATGGATTGAGAAACTTAACGATCGCTGGTTTGACTTGGCGCCTTTCTTGCTCTTCTATCGAGACTCGATTAAGAGCGTTGCGGACAGGAATGAATTCTCTTGGAATCTACAGCAACATTACTTGGGAGATCGTCGATTTAGTCTGGAAAGCTATTGGGACGTGCAGCGCATGTTTACAGATATCCTTTTCAGGAACAGTATGTGGACATCATTGGATCTTCATCGTAGACATGGAACGAGTCCTCTGTACTCGTTTGTCTACGATAATCCAACGGACTCTGGAGTTGGACAGGTGCTGTCCAATCGCACGGATGTATATTTTGGTAGGTCTGCCATTTCCTTTAATTTTTTGCACCGCCTTATAAGTCTCCTGTTCTAGGTACTGTCCATGGCGACGACTTTTTCCTTATATTCGACTTGGGCGCATTGCGAACTTCTATTCGTCCTGATGAGCAAGTTATTTCAGGACAGTTTATAAAGATGCTGGAAGATTTTGCCCTTTCCGATAGTGGAGAATTAATATTTGGCAATTGCCAATTGCGGAATAATATAAACAGTGAAAATTTTCAGTTCCTCAGAATAATAAAACATGTTTGTATAAACGAGGAATATTCTCAGTTTCCCTAAGGAATTAAAAAATATATAAATAAATTTTTATTTAATGTATGTTATGCTCAATATTCTTGTATTATTACAATTAATTATAGGCATGGATTCCATTGCTTCGACTTATAAAAGTTTAAAAGTAAATATATTTCCTCTGTGTAATTTTTATTTGAATGCTAATTTGATAATTACCCACTGACCGTTCGTCATCATCGTTTACCCCCGAAACGTTCTCAAAACGCGTTTGATTCAGTTTTTTATACTTTTCACAAGGCATCGTTGTTGGGGCTATAAAGCAATAAGCCAAGTTCTGTTTGTTGCCAGTCGCATTGCACGCCCGTCGAGTTCGGAACATGCGTTTATTGAGATGGTTGACTTGCCTGTTTCTGGTGTGGATCCAGTCACCAGGTATAGTTTCCTTCCACGAGTCAGATCCGTTGATTGTTGAGATCCCGAATGGAAAACTGCGCGGAAGGGATAGTGGCTCCTACTACAGCTTCGAATCGGTGCCATACGCAGAGCCTCCAATCGGCGAACTTCGATTCGAACCTCCACGTCCTTATAGTCGCCAGTGGAAGGACACCTTTGATGCCACCCAGCCACCTGTGTCCTGCATGCAATGGAATCAATTTATCAGTGAAAGCAATAAGCTAGTGGGTCAGGAGGATTGCCTGACTGTTAGTATTTACAAACCGAAGAGCAGCAGTCGGAAGACGTTTCCTGTAGTTGTCCTCCTGCACGGTGGTTGCTTTATGTTCGGTGGAGCTTCATCTAATGGACACGAGTTCATCATGGACGCAGGAAATTTGATGTTGGTAAAAATCAGCTATCGCCTGGGCCCATTGGGATTTGTGAGCACCGGAGATCGAGAGTTGCCGGGCAACAACGGATTGAAGGATCAACGCTTAGCTTTGCAATGGATCAGACAGAACATAGCTAGTTTCGGTGGTCTGCCGGAGAATATCGTGGTCCTTGGTCATTCTGCAGGTGGAGCATCAGCACACATGCAGCTCCTAAAAGAAGATTTCGGCGGACTAGCCCGGGCGGCCATATCGGTGAGTGGAAATGCCCTCGATCCTTGGGTCGTTCAAGAAGGTGGTCGAGGTCGAGCCTTTGAACTAGGTCGCATTGTCGGCTGTGGGCTGGCTGAGGACTCCGCCACACTCAAGAGTTGCCTAAAATCCAAGCCTGCCAGTGAAATAGTGTCCGCTGTCAGCAGTTTCCTGGTGTTTTCATACGTGCCCTTCTCCACTTTTGGTCCTGTTGTGGAACCGGCAGATGCTCCCGAAGCGTTTCTTACCCAGCACCCCCGAGAGGTAATCAAAAGCGGAAAGTTTGCTCAAGTGCCTTGGGCTGTGACCTACACCGCTGAAGACGGTGGCTACAATGCAGCTCTGCTGTTGGAACAGAATCGAACCACCGGAGAGACATGGATTGAGAAACTTAACGATCGCTGGTTTGACTTGGCGCCTTACTTGCTTTTCTATCGAGACTCCAAGAAGACTATCAGGGATATGGATGAGTGGTCAAAAAAACTGAGACAGGATTACCTGGGTGATTGGCGATTCAGTGTTGAGAGCTATTGGGACGTGCAGCGGATGTTTACAGATATCCTTTTCAAAAACAGTGTGCCGGAAGCCTTAGACCTCCATCGTAGACATGGAAAGAGCCCGCTGTACTCCTTTGTCTACGACAACCCGGCGGTGTCTGCAGTCGGGCAATGGCTGTCCAATCGCACAGATGTATATTTTGGTATGTCTGCATTGTATTCAACCGATAAAACGATTATAAAAACCTTTTTGTTTTTATTTCAAGGTACTGTTCATGGAGACGACTTTTTCCTTATCTTTAAAGCAAGTTTGCTGCGAAAAGTCATTCGTCCTGATGAAGAAATTATATCAGGAAAGTTCATGAAGATGCTGGAGGACTTTGCATTTAGTAAAAATGGAGAAATGAGTTTTGGCGATTGCCACTTCCAGAATAATGTAAATAATAAGAAGTACCAGGTACTAAAAATAACAAGAAATGGTTGCACGAACGAGGAGTATTATCAGTTCCCTGAAGGAAATATTAAGAAAATCCTATAACTATAACTTTTTTTTTACCTAAGAATTATTTAATTTGTGTTTTATATTTAACAAAGGTTGTGACGAGAGTTCATTGTCTTAAATAAATAATTTAAATTATGAATTTTATATAAATGTCTTTTGATTAGCCGGCAGTATTCGCATTTAAATTTTGTTTCTATTATATGAAAAAGCGAAGCAAACATGATAATTTTATAATTCTCGTTTTCAAAACGTGTTTGAGCTACATTTGTGTTTCACTTCTGCGCCAGATTTTTTGACCTACTCGCACGTGAATAGCAAATTGAGAGTTGGCCCACAGCTGCTATAAAGTCACAAGCCTCCTTACTTTATTTTCAGTCGCATTAGAAGCTAGTCGGGCTCTCAACATGTGTTTATTAAGATTGTTAAGTTGCTTGTTTTTGGTATGGATAAACTCACCAGAGATTGCTTCCTCCCTCGCATCAGATCCCTTGATTGTTGAGATCCCGAATGGAAAACTCCGGGGAAGGGATAATGGAACCTACTACAGCTACGAATCGGTGCCATACGCCGAGCCTCCAATCGGCGAACTTCGATTCGAAGCTCCACGTCCTTATAGTCGCCAGTGGACGGAGACCTATGATGCCTCGCAGCCACCAGTGCCCTGCTTGCAATACAACCAATTCAGAGCTACTAAGCTAGTGGGTCAGGAAGATTGCCTGACCGTCAGCATCTATAAGCCGAAGAACAGCACTCGGAACAGCTTTCCAGTCGTTGTCCTCCTGCACGGTGGTGCCTTTATGTTTGGAGTAGCGGCAGCCAACGGACACGAATATTTTATGAGTGTAGGCAACTTGATGTTGGTGAAAATAAACTATCGCCTTGGGCCGTTGGGCTTCGTCAGCACCGGAGATCGAGAGTTGCCGGGCAACAACGGATTGAAGGACCAACGATTAGCCTTGAAATGGATTAGACAGAACATAGCTAGCTTTGGTGGTCTGCCAGAGAATATCGTGGTCATTGGTCATTCTGCGGGCGGTGCATCAACACATTTGCAGCTCCTCCATGAAGATTTCGGTGGATTGGCCCGGGCGGCCATATCGGTGAGTGGAAATGCCCTCGATCCTTGGGTCGTCCAGGAAGGTGGTCGAGGTCGAGCCTTTGAAGTAGGTCGCATTGTCGGCTGTGGACTTGCTAAGGACTCCGCCACACTCAAAAGTTGCCTAAAATCCAAGCCCGCCAGTGAAATAGTGTCCGCTGTCAGCAGTTTCCTGGTGTTTTCATACGTGCCCTTCTCCACGTTTGGCCCTGTTGTGGAACCAGCAGACGCTCCCGGGGCATTCCTTACCCAGCACCCCAGAGAGGTAATCAAAAGCGGAAAGTTTGCCCAAGTGCCCTGGGTTGTGACCTATACTTCCGAGGATGGTGGCTACAATGCAGCTACGCTGTTGGAACAAAATCTAACCACCGGAGAGACATGGATTGAGAAACTTAACGATCGGTGGTTTGACTTGGCGCCTTACTTGCTCTTCTATCGGGACTCCAAGAAGACTATTAGGGATATGGATGATTTTTCAAGAAAACTGAGACAGGATTACCTGGGAGATCGACGATTTAGTGAGGAAAGCTATTGGGACGTGCAGCGGATGTTTACAGATATCCTTTTCAAGAACAGCGTGCCGGAAGCCTTAGACCTACATCGTAGACATGGAAAGAGCCCGCTGTACTCTTATGTCTACGACAATCCGACGGAGTCTGGAGTCGGGCAGGTTCTGTCCAAGCGCACGGATGTATATTTTGGTAGGTGTGCAATTTCCTTTAAGTATTTGTACCTCCTGATGTGTCTTTTATTCAAGGTACTGTCCATGGCGACGACTTTTTCGTTATCTTTGACTTGGGTCGCCCTCGGGCGGCTTTACGTCCAGATGAACATATTATAGCCGGAAATTTCATGAAGATGCTGGAGAATTTCGCCCTCAGCGATGACAGAGAATTTTCATTCGGCGATTGCCATTTTCAGAACAATGTTGAAAGTGAAAAATTTCAGGTTCTAAGGATAACCAGAAATGGCTGTGAGAACGAGGAATATTACCAGTTTCCCTGAAGCATAAAAATATATGTACATTTCATAGTAATAACTGTATCAAATTGGAGATTTATTTAACCTTCAGGAGGCTTCACCTATCAGAGGCTCCTCAATCAGTTCCTCCTCCTCGTCTTCCGCCTGGTTATCCTCTCCCTGCACATTGCCGTACAGCTCGATCTTGCTGTCCAAAAAGCGGAAATCCTTCAGGATGTGCAGCTTGTTACTGAAGCCAGCAATGGACATGAGGTTGATGGGAGCAGTTTGCCACACCACCGAGTAGCACGCTGTATGCTCCACGGGAATATTGGCCTGCAGCTCTCCATGCAACGTATATGACTGCACATGGTTGTACTCTCCGCCGATGAACACGCTGTCGTCAACAAACTCGCATAGATGCACGCGTCCTGGAAAGTCGAATACTCGGGTGCACTCCAGAGCGCGCAGGTGGTAAATGGAGGGCCGGGGACCACCACCGCAGAGCAGCCAGTCCTCGCTGACAGCGACGGCACCTATCCACTTGCCCCAGTCCGGCCGGATCAGCTGGGGGTTCTTGTGCGGCTCCAGCAAAGAGGTTTGTTCCTGTTTCTTGGTAGACCACACGCGCACCGTGCCATCCTCGGCCCCCGAGAAGATCTGTCCGCTGGCATTGCCCACCACACTGTGAATGTAGTCTGTGTGGCCACGGTACTCCCGCTGAATGCGTCCATCCTCCAGGCTCACCTGATAGATGACGCCGTCGCCGCAGCCAGCGAACAAGGTGTCATTATCCGCGTTTAACCACATGGAGTTTACGTCGGGCACCTCCACGGCATCCACCTGCATGGGAATCTTCACCTCCCAGGAGCGCTTTGCGGCCAGAGTTTCCTCCTCCTCGTTCCATGGCAGCCCGTAGATCAGGCCTACGGCACCCACAATCAGGAAGTCACGGTGGAAGGCCAGGCAGTTGATGTCGACGCCATTTCCCTGAGGGAAGATCTTCAGCTTGCCGGGCGGCTCCTCGGTGCCCTTGTCCAACTCTTGTATCCTTTAAAATGACAAATTACAGCTTGGAAATGTGCAATAAGCCCAAGATTCTTACTTGAGTACGAAGATATCTCCGAAGCTGTTGCCCGCGAATAGGTGCTGGTGGGAGGCGGATATAGTCTGTGCCATGACATTGTTGTAGGCTCGCTTAAGGTCCTTTTCTTTCATGTTTTTCAGTTGTTTTAACAAATTGCAATTTTACAAAATCGTTTGTTTTTGCCGGCCTTTTTAGTGTGACCGTCTATAATGGGAAGTCTGGCAATGCACACAGTGTTGCCAGACATTTCAGACTTTCTTTGCCAGACTTTTACGTTATATACTGCTTAACGACATACGTTTTATGCACTGCTTTTCTTACGTTATCCCGTTACCGTTAAATTCAAATTTGTATTTAATGTTTGTATACTCTTTCAGAATATGAAAATGCTATTCTGAAGTTTGCAAAGCTATGAAGATGACATGATTGGTTTCATAAATCTTAAAATAAATATTATATATCGGTGCAATTACGTATAGTTGTTTTCCTCTTCCGTTTCATTTGTATTTTTCGATTTTGTCATCTTATCTGCTGCCTTTTTGCTTCTTTTAATATTTTAATATTATTTTAATATTTTGGTTGTTGAGTGCATTGAATTTTGCGAATTTCGCTTTGAGTAGCGAATATACGAATTCAAGGACACATGACGTCAGCTAAACATTTTTCGGCTTGCTGCTGTTGCTGCTGCTATTTTTTTTTATTTATTTCATGTTGTGGCTGTTGTTGTTGTTTTGGGGAATTAAAGCTTGACTGGCATTCGGTCGCTGCCAACGCCTCTGCTTTCTATTTATTGTGTTCTTCGTCTTCTCTTCTCTTATGTTTTTTTTTTTTGTTGGTTTCTTTTGTTTTGCGCTTTTATATATTAAATATTTGCACAGCAGCAGCAGCCAGAGCCAGGCAGAGCAATTTCTGATAAAGAACTGTGTGTGTCTTTGTCTCTCTCGCTGGGATATCTCTTTCCAAATCTCCCTCCCTCTCTCTCGTTAGCATTATCTATGGTCTCTCGCAAAAATTGTTTTGGCAAACAAAGTCAATCAGAAGTTTGTTTGCGAAACTAAAGCTTTTATTTCAAAAGTACCCAAAGTTTTTCTACGTTGCGATTGAACTTTTTATTTTGACAAGAAAATATCGAAATATCTTAACAAAGTTAACGATTATTTTAAACAAATTTAATAATAAAATAACTATATGTACATTTTATTAATGTTTGTTTAATATGTTGAGTTATTCGTCAAAATGTTTGTGTACGATTTTTAGTTAAGTAAAACATTTGTCTTTTAATTATCGTCTTTTAACGCCTTGTTTTCTTTTAATTAAAAGTTACAAAACAAGTTAAAAAAAAACTATATCCAAGCATTTAAATTTGTTTCAAATTTGGTCTGTAATTTTCTATATAATATTTTAACAGGAAAGATTACTTTGTCTTGATTACTTGTCTTTAGCTAAGAAACCACTTGTTTATTTGATATTTATATAATTATTTAATATATTTTTATACACTCTGAAATTAAAAATATAAGATTTATGGTCAATAATGTTATTTTTTAATTTTTTTCGGTGTATTATATCTCTGTTTCGGTTTCTTATCGTTGTGTTTGGTCATTGAAAGTGCAAGGCGTCGACGTCGGCGCACGCATTTTATTTCCCAACCTCTCTAGAACGCACATTTATTATGCATTTAACGTTCCCCGCTGACGACTGCAACTATCGTTCCCTTCCCTCCCCCTTGCAGTCGCCTCTTGCTGACATTTAAGATTCGCTTTCGCTTCCCCTTTTTTATTTCCAACGCGCACTCTGTAAAATTTCCATATTGTTTGTCAACCGACCGTCCGACGATTGGATTGCATCCCGGGCTCGGGGCTTCTCAATTCTCGGTTTCGGTCTCTAAATCGGATTCGGAGTTGGAGGCGATCAACAGCTCCGTATGCAGTCTGCATGCAAATAGTGCAGTTCGCATCAGACACACTGTAAAAAATATAAAAAAAAAACATCGAATATTAACAAGTAATTTAGCTATTGAACTTTAAAGTGCATTTTTTAAATTTTTTTACAAATTTGTTTTTGGTTAAATTACCTAAAAAAATAAATTAGATATTCGTATACGTAATCTGTTTTCTGGAAAGCTTACCCTCGTCTTCCAAATGTTCAATGTTTTTCAATGTTAATGACTAATATTATTTGAAAAATTTGTTATAAATAATAAGTATATTTCGCTCTGTGCATTTTCCCGTGCAGGGAAAGGGAAAGAAAGGGACAGAGCAGAGCAGGGCCAGGGCCCGAGCCAGGGTCCACAGATATCGTCAGAGGCAGCAGTTCAATCACATTGCACAAAAGTTCGAGGTCAGTTATAAAAATAAAATTATATTCCCTCGCTCGCTCTCAGTTTATTCGCGGACTCTTGGACTGGATTGGATTGGGCTTTTTGTTTTACATTAATTTCTGTTTGAATGCGACAAAATGGGTTTCTTTGTCTTTGGCTGACTGGGCAGGATCGGGGATAGGGATCAAATCATGGGGTTGCTTTAGTCCAGCTCCTGTTTCCTGCTCCTGAACGGGTACGATCCCTATCCCGTTCCCATTTCCCTGGCTTAATCGCCATGAGGCACAAAGGCCATTGTTCGGGGACATTGCGGGTCACTCGAGTGGAAGTAGGCCACTGGAGTTCTGTGTAACTTGAGCACCGATCCGCTGATCTTCCCATCGGCGTTGCAATTGTGTAATGCGAGCCCGCCATGCAGGGCATTGACTTCTTGCCTCAAGGATAATGGGGGGGACTTGGAAAATAATCTCATTTAAAAACGATTTTTTCCTGGTAAATTATTAAAAATATATTAAGTGCGAGTTTTAACATTAAATTTGTCTTGATTACTTTTAGCAGGAAATAATAAATATTTCTGGATAAGCGTGTCACACTAGTTTTGATTTCTAAATAAATAAATGGGACAGTAATTATTCATTTTGTATGTGCATACATATATATGTAGTTAATTTTATTTTCCATTTAGAATGATTATATATTTTTTAAGGGGAATTTTACATTTTATTTTATTTTCTGACTGTTCTTAACTCTGACCTGTTGGGCGTTTTAATAGCGGTTTAGGGGGCGATTTTTTTTGCATATAAAGAGGTTTTAAACCTTTCTTTATAGACTTTTTTGATTAGGTTTTAAGAATGGTTTCAGTTCAGTTTTGGGACTGTTTTTCGGTGGCTTGTTGTATGTTTTAATCATTAACATGCAAATACTTAATGATTGATTTCTTTGAATTTTAAAAGCCTTCTGCTGTCTTATTTCATGTACATTTATTTTCATTGATATTCTTCTAAGTCTGACTAGAGTTCTTTTTGTTTAAAAGCCAGGGTCCAGGGCCCAGACAGTCGCTGACCGGTGGAATGCTGTTGAACTTAATTTCGGCTGGTCGGCCGGCCTCGCAATGAAATGAAATTTCGATCATTTCCAGAGAATTCATGCCACAGATTTCGGCGCGACGGTCGCGGGTCCTCGAAACAGACCGAAAACAGACCAAGACAAACTAGTTGGACGGGCTCCCAGCTTCACCATCCTCCGCGCCAGAAGCGGGGGGCCCCAAGGATGCCGGATCCCGGACTGCGAGACGGCGTCGCAGGCAGGTTCATTAACTTGTTTGCCCCGCCGCACGTTGCCGCATTGCCTTGTTGCTGTTTTTGTATATTTTTTGGGTCCGCCGCCGTCGTCTTTTGCCAGCATCCGCGACGAGACAATAATGATCTTCGCTGGAAACGCGCGAGCCCCTTGCAACTCGTGGCACTCTATGCTCCCCAAAGCTGGGATCTCCTGGCTTCTCCTCCTCCTCGCCGGCAGTGGAGCTGGTGGTAGTGATGGTGACTTAATTGCCGCACCCAAATGGCTGGTGAGCTGGACTAGGGATTAGTACGAAAAGTATTCGATTCTCAAGCTCCGTGCTGTGCCCTCTTGAATCTATAAAGGTATACCCTGGCTTGCCAAGGAGACTCCAGTTACAGGTCTATTTAGAAGGGAATTCTGGGAATTAATGCAGTTAGATCTTGAAGAAAATCAAGAATAATAACATTATGTACTTAAGATATTATATAACAGACTACATTTTACATAAATTCTATGGTCTAAGACATTTAATAATTCACATTCTGATTATAAAGTCTTGAGTTTCTTTTTAAAAAACAAAACCCACATAATGGATATCTATTATTCGGAATATTTAAGTATATATAGTAGCATTTTTATACCCTTGCAGGGTATTATAATTTCAGTCAGAAGTTTGTAACGCAGTGACGGAGACCTTTCCGACCCTATAAAGTATACATATATATTCTTGATCAGCATCAACAGGGGAATCTTTCTAGATATGTCAGGAAGAAATCGATTTTTTGGCCATTTTTCAAAATTTTATAAGGGGTTACATCATTAAAAATTTTGATTTTGATAAAAAATTTATTAACTGTAATAAATCTTGCACAGAACAGTTTTCCGATTTAAAATTAATGCTCTTTTGGCCGAGTTATGATAATTTTAAATTTAAAAATGTATAAAAAAAATCAATAAGTTTTTTAATATAAAAAATCAGATTTTATAATACAAAATAATATTTTTCTAAGTCAAGGAATCATTTCCGACCCCATAAACCATATATATTCTTGATCAGCATCAACAGGGGAATCTTTCTAGACATGTCCGGAAGAAATCGATTTTTTGGCCATTTTTGCGAAATTTGATAAGGGGTTACATCATTAAAATTAGCAAAAATGGCCAAAAATTTTGATTTCTTAAAATTTTAAATTTGGTATGCAGTTTTTTTTAATTAATAAAAACTAAAACAAAACTGCTTTCCGAATCGAAATTAATGCATTTTTGGCTTAGTAATGATATATTTTAATTGTTACCTGCAAGGGTATACAAACTTTGGCTGGCCAAAGTTAGCTTTCTTTCTTGTTTATACTCAAATTGCCTGCTTTCTTTCGCAGAAACCTGTTTCCTTTTTTACAACGATCGACATGCAGATGGAAGCAGGGCGGGCTCTACCCTATGATCCTTGTGACATTCGCTCATTTTTCACTGTCGCAACTCGGTTTCTCCGATAAAGTGGAGCATATACATATGTACATATATACATACATATACATATTATACTAGCCTCTGATTAATATGAGTGGTGGCCCTTCCGATATCGCTGCAACCTTGGCCAGAGTCATTTACTCAGCAGGGTGAATCACAACTGGTATGGTCCCAATGGCATGGATACAACTTCGATGTGACTAAGCATGACTCAAAGCAAGATTGGTAACAGAAAGCTCCATTGAAGGTGATAATAAAAACTATTAATAATAAAAGCTATTTCATTAACTGTGAATATCCTAAAAAAGATCCATCTTTAAAGAAATTTCATAGATTTAATATGAACCAGGAAAGGTGATTTTACTATGAATCATTGTTTGGTTTTTACGCGTCATTTAAAAGTTATACAAAACCTTAGAGCTTTAAGTTTTTCCCCTTTTTAAATTGTAAAATTTACAAACTGATTAGCCGAAGAATGTTAAACTAAATCTTTATAACATAATACAAATTTAATAAAACAAACAATAAACCAAAACATTTAAATTAAATCTCAATTCATTTGGCAACACTCTCCAAAAGCGTGGTGAGGCAATCGAAGCGAGTGCACTTTCCCAGCACCGATCTCACGTCTCTCGTGAAACGGAGGGCATCCAGGAATGGTAAAAGTTCGAGGAGGGCTTCATCCTTTTGCCCAATTCTATACGATGAGATGGGGATACAGTTGCCTGCATTAAAGCTACATGCAATACTGGAATTGTCCAGCAGAAGGATGTTGGCCATGTCCGGGGAACACAGAGATATATACTTGGCCCTCAGGCCACCGACATCAATAGTGTGTTGACGGTAAAACCTTTTGTCTAAAATCCCACGGCCTTTATCAAGGAAATCCAGGATGGGTGAAGCATAATCCTCCGTACCACAGGTGAAGACCACCAGGTTATACCACCTGGACACGTTGTTCAGGAAGCGATCTACATGGGGACGTTTATAAACGTAGACGTCGCCCTTACAAATGGCAGTCGAAATGCCGAACTTGAAGTCGTGGGGCACGTTGGGCGGTGAGTGTCGATGATCGCCCTGTCGCTGAATCCAGGCCGTGATCAGGGTCTCGTCCATATCCAGGACGAGCGTCTTTTTGGCCACGCGTTTTAGGCAGCGTAAAGAAACTGGGGTCAAACAATCATCGCTCAAGTATTCAATTGGAGAGTAATTTGCATAGACCTTGTAGATCCTTGCCGCTGTTAACTTGATGAACCTACCCAGCCTGGGCTCATTCAGGCATATGATAGCCAGCACCAGACCCCAAGTTTGCAGTCCAAATATGCTTAAGACAGTTGGTCATATATGTAAGTTTTGACTACTTGCATTAAAAATATATTACTTACAGGGATATAAACGAGTCACCAGTCATGGCTTTTTATTAAGATTTCATGTAGAAAGTATTTAATAATTTTAACTAAACGTAAAGCTAATTGAGTGAGGCTTTTCAAAAGGTTGTTGAATTATTTTTCTAAAAGTTTCTAGAATTTAAGAGACTGACAATGATTGCAAGGGATTCCTTGAATGAAGAATGAATCACAGAGAGACTGATTAATAAAACACTAAACATAAAAACTAAACATTTCAATTAAAATCTCAAAATCAATTTAAACAAATAAGTTATTATTAAGCAAGCCTAATTAAAAGACAATCGCTCTGCCTTTATTATGTTATCAAAAAGTAATTTCTGTGTCACCCCTGCGTATACATAATTTTAATTATGAAACCATACATTACGTATACGCATATGTAAAATATTTTTTATATAAATATTTAATTTTTTTCTCTGTATGGATATTGGAGGAACTTGTCTGGCTTACAATATTGCACTTACAGTGGGTGTTAAACGATCGGGAGTGCGTGTGGGTGACGAATGGGAGGGGACAGGGAGTTGGAGCAACGAAGAAAACATCCAGGCAATGCAGGGCCAGGCAATGATGACGCACAACAAGGCAGAGCAGGAAAAAAACAAGAGAAATAAAATAAAAACGATGAGCAGAGAGTTAAAAGTGCGATTATAAATCAAATAGTGAACAGAATATTGAAAGTTTAACGATTTAAAAGACCTAAAGATAAAGAAAGAAGGAATTCAAATTACAAACATTTTTTAAGGTGTTTTTATTGTAAGCCCCAATCTTAACTTTACGTGTGGCGTTTTTTTAAGTGTACAAAGGCCGCAGCACTGACGGAAGTTCGCCGGCGATGTCACTCGTGTAAAATATTGCACTGGCCTTGGGAGCAGCACGCACAATGTGACTGCGCCGTCAAGACGATTAACAACGCAGCACAGAAAGCAACAGCAGCGGCAACAACAACAACATTTAACAAAAATACAGCCAGAAACTGCAACTGTGACCATGATGCTGGCTGGCGGCGTCATCCAGAAAGGAGCACCATATTGCGCGCATCTGGAGGCTGACGCCTGCACGCGATTGGGATGGAATCTTGCCCAAGAAAAGTATTAATTAAATTCAAAAGCTATTAAATAATATTTTTTGGCAAAGTAATTTGTTCTTTAAGGTGCACATGAGTGATACCAAGTAGTTGTATTTTTATTAATAATTTTTTAGTCATCATAATCTCATGTTGACACAGGTGTCATTTCTTTTTGCACACCTGTGTCCTGATAAATTAGTTATTTTTAAGTATATTTTTCTTTAGATTAATAAGTAAACCCTTGAATAAAGTCCACCCTAATGGATCATCCCACTCATTAGGTTTTTTTTGTTACCCTTCCAGGCCCTGGGGCCTGCGTTTTGCGGTTTTCTGTGTGGCGTCTGCTGGGTGTCAACATTTAACCGCATGTTGCTGCAATTCCCCAATTCTCACAAAAAACGCTTACATATTTAAGGGAAAAATGAACTAGTGAGTCAGTTAAAAATAAATGGAATGAGTGGACTGTTCAACACCCGCATCTAGGCACATGTTGGGAAGTTCTTGGTGAGCTCCAGAAAATGTACAGAAATTCCCAAAGCTTTTTAATTGACAAACATAGCTGAACTAAAATCTCAACATATTTCTTGTAAGTTTTTAGTTCCCATAAACCTTGTATATTTTCAGTGCAAATTTAATTCCAAAACAAAAGATACATTTGTACATGTGTACATATATTCTTATCAGAGAATTTAACCGATACTTTTCCCTCTGTGTACGCTTATCGCTTCGCTTATCTCGTTTCTCGCGATTCAACCTGAACCTGTAAACGCGATTCTGGCAACATTTTTGGATACGAAATTTGACGTGTGTTAAATTAGCATTAAACAATAATAATTCTGCTGCTGCTGCTGCCTGATCTTTTTGGGCTTAGCTGCTTTTGTGGTTGTTGTGCCGAATGCAAAATAAATTGCGCATAAAGTTTAATCACTTTGACTTTGCACAACACACACACGCGAAAGCCGAAAAAATACAAACTCGCATAACAAAAGATTCTTCACACAGACACAGGCGCATACAATATCAGTGGCAGGAACAACAACAACAACAACAGCAAGCTCAGTGGACAGTGCAAAAATAAAAATAAAAAATATAAAAATATAAAAAAAAAAGTAAAAAGAAAGAGAGACTACAAGGCAAAGGCGACGCCGGCAATACGGGGCAGAGCGAATGGGACGGCGGTAGAGTCAACAACCTCCAGTGCATTACTCACTTTTAAAGACCGTGTGTGTCCTTCAACAAAAACTTTATCTCTGTCCCTCACTGGCTCTCATGTATTTCACTCACTCACTCGCTCGCTTGCGCTCTCTTTGGATGCTCGCCTCGTTTTTTACATTTTATAATTAAACAATTTTGCAGTCGTCTCGCCCTCGCAACCCCGTTACCCACCACCACCTCCCTTGCCACACTCCCTCTTCGTCATCTTTTTCTGGACAAACAGAAACCCGAAAAAGTGAAGCTTGCTGCACAGTGAAAAATGTGATCACATCAATATTCCAGGGAGATTGTATGAATAATAAGGTAAAAAAGTATTATATTTAAAAATTATAAATATGAAAAAGGTAAAAGGTAAGGTAATAAATATCAATAATGTTGATTATAATATATATTTTGCAAAAATGCATTACATTGTTTTAAAATAAATACAATAAAGTCTTTAAATTAATTAGAAGAAAGTGTGCTTTTGAAATCTCCTAAAAATTTCAAAATAAAATAACTTAAATCACAAACTTTTCCCCTGAGTGGATATGTTCTTGATATTTTTCATGTGGTTCTTGGAGCTTTGCACAAGTGTGCAGAGAAGACTGTCTTCTATCTCCACTTTATCGATTCGGCTTCGAATACTTTGTCGATTCTTTGCCCGTTGCTGTTGCTGCTGCGCATTTTCGCATTTTGGCGAGATGCGAGATGAATAAACTTTTGTGCGCTTGCGTGACCTGCTCGCCGTCCTGTCTCCATCTCCACCCCCCCCTGCTCCACCATGAGGAAGAGTGGGAGTAAGTGAGAGAGGACGAGAGACTGCCACATCCGCTCTGGTCTGCATGTGTGTGTATGTCACTTTTTTGTGTGCTGGTGTGGCTAATGTCAATGACTGCAATTTGTTAGCAAAATATTTCAACTGATAAATAAAATCTACATGATGCCAACGAACTCGAGGCCCCAAAAAAACAAGCCCAAAAATTGCAATTTGCCCCCCAATTGAAGAACAACTACGAGACGACGCTCCCGGGCGGACTCACTCTCACACACAGGTTGGCAATGCCATAAACAAAGAATTCCTTTTGTTTGTCGATTCGATTTCTGCGCTTTGCTTTCTTTATTTTTTGTGTAAATTGTATTTTTATTTTTAAATAAACAAGCGGCGGAGTTCATTGCATTCGCCGGAATAAGAATATAACAAATAAGCCAGCCACAATCAACAAAAGGCAAAAAAAAAACAGGAACGTCGACTGATATACACATGGCGTATACATAATTAACGGCTGCGCGTGTGTTGAGAGTTCAAGTTAATTTATCAATTCTTTCTTTTTTCGGGACCTCACAATACTTGCACTTAAGTAGGGAGAGTGTGAGCAAAGTCATAACTCTGTCGGAAGGTGTGTATATAAAAAATCAATCAACTGATTAATTGCGGCTCCACAATCTTGGATTTTGTTGCCAAAATTAACTTAATAGCTGGTGACACAATATCCAGAAATCATTATATCTGTATCTATTTTATAATTTCCATTGGGTTCGGGCCATGAGGAGAAATTTATTCTTCATAATTCCCAATAAGGGTAGCTGTGAGGAAAATATAGTGAAAACTATAATTCCCATATTATTTGAGTAGAAAATTAAAATGGAAGCTTGAATGTTTACACTGCCTAAATAACTATATTTAGTAAATAACAAACAACATATATACTATTTTAGATAATGTCTCCCCTTCAATTGTAAACAGTTTTTGTAGTCAATCATCTGTTGCATTTATCAGATGGTGCTATATTTCCACGCCGAGCATTGAATGTCAGGGAAGATCGGGTTACACTGCTAAAGTCGGTCAATAACTTCGGACCCCTGCACAAAACGTTTAGGCGTTGACCACAAGTGATCAAGATGTTCCTGTTGTTTTGTTTTTTTGTTGTGCACTCACTCCTTTGGTGAACGCTGATCTCAAGTTAATGCCTCCGTCGCTCGGATGCCACGTTATTTTAGTTGACCGGTTTAATGACTCGAACTTAATTTGCGCCCTCGGAGAGAGACTAAGGCACCAAAATGCCAAAAAAAAAAGAGCCAAAAGTATGCGCAATAACAAGGCAGACAACACCCAGCGGCCAAGAAAAAACTCGGCTTGGACAGAAAGAGACAGCGGCAGCGACGCGTCTGGAGGTTAACAATTGAGGTTGCCATTTTAGCAATGATCGTAGCTTCATGAAAAACTGTTAGGACTTCACATAAAATAAAATAATAAATAATTAATAGAAATATTATTAAATTAATTAGAAATTCGTGTCGAATCAATCAATCAACCAGTCAATCTAAAATTTGTGCTTACTTCATAAAATAAGAATTAAACAGGTATTAAGTTCTCTGGAAAGAATTTAGTTTTATTAAATTAAAATCAAAAATGTCCTGTAAGCTGCCTCCAAAAAGTAGGCAATGATTTTCGAGCCAAAACTGCTTGCAACTGCTTGAATCTCTTTCTTTTTCACCATATGCTACTTTTTCCACCGCAACTGTACAAGGAGGAGATCTTTGTCCCTATGTGTGGGAGGGGGGAGTGGGAGCTGCAGGCAGCAGGAAGAGCTCCAAAGCGACGATATGCGTGTGTGTGAGTGGGTCGCCAAAAAAAATGGCAACAACAAGAAGGAACAGGAGGGAGAAGCAGACCGAAATTGGAGAGAACCGAATAAACAACAGCAATACAAAACAGAACGATGTGCAAGTAACTCATATTGGAGAGTGCGTGTGTGAGTGCGCGGCGACTGCGACGCTGGCAGAGGGGCTGGCTGGCCATGCCAGGTTGAGTTCAGTTTGAGGCTAAATCCAATATAAAAAGCCACGATCGAAAGATGCAAAATGTTCATTCCGCCGCCGTTCGTTCGTTCCGTTCGTTTTACTTTGCTCGCATATAAAAAAGTCAAACAAAATAATAAAATGAAGCATGCGAAAGCAGCGATCGCAGCACAGCACAGCACACTCACACACCCGCATTCGCACAAACACCACACCCATACGCATGCATTTTGGCGACGCCATTGCGTACGGGCGGCCATTAAAGCCGACTGCGCTGTCGACGGCGCAGCGGAGAGTATAAAAGCATAAAATCACTTCGTACTCGGGTTTATTAAAACCAAAACTGTGCAAGTGTCGAGATCGGTTGCAGAGCTCCGAGCTTATATCCCTAACAAAATCTCCAGGACTCATCCATTGAAAATAATAAAATCCTCCACAAAAAAAAAGAAATAAGTTCTAGTGAAATTCTTAAAAAAACTAAAGCAGATTGCAGTGAAAGTTGGGCAATTAAAATAGTAATAAAATCAACAACAATCTAATCTAAAATAGCGAAAACGAAAAATACAAATTAATTTCAATTGCCACGCGACCCCGCGTCAAAAATAAAACCAAAAGCGGAAAAAAAAAACAATGATAGAAAAGAAAATCGAAAGTGTTCTACTGACATGGATTACTTTTTGCTACCCAAAACTACAAACACAACAACAACAATCAAGGCGAAGAGAAACTAGCGCTAGTTTTGTCTATTCAGAGAGCGAGAATGGGAGAGATAGGAAGGCCGAGAGCAAGAGGCCGGTCTCCAAAATAGAAAGCACTACACAGAAAAAACCCATAGATCCCGTAAAAAAAAACCCACAATAAAATTTGGGTTTTTATTTACTTATGGAAGTAGAGCAGATTTACTTATAGAATTCTTAATAATAGAATTTGTATCTATAAAACCCTAGAAAAGGCCTGGTAGTTAGTCTTGTTAAACTGTACCTATTTGTTCCATAGGATTTAAAAGTAAATGTTGCTATATTCACTTCAAATTACCCTTCAATTGTAAAATTCTTACACCCTTTGTTCTCTGTGTAGATAGTTATATCTATTGTTCAAGACGTTTATACTTTCTGTCTTGGCTTTTATCAAACGTATCTTTTGGTTTCCCTCATAAAACTTTACTGTTGACAGAACTATATTGCCCTTTTGTTCTCTCTGTGTAGATTAGCGATCTCTTCTGTTTTGCGGTGTACGTGCACTTGGCTAGAAGCTCCACTCTCCACGCTCCGTTCTTTGACGCTCGTTCTCCGCTCTCTGGGAGAGCAAAAGCAGCCGAGCAGGAATTCTAATACCCCCATTCTCGTAGCTTTGAACTTGAACTTTAAATGCACTCACATACATTCATACATATACTAATGCTGTTTGCTGTTGGAGGGCGTGCTCCCCATATCTCTCTCTCTCTCTCTCTTCGCTAATCGCAGAAAGAGCCCCACCAATACGCTCATATGCTCCCCAGTTGCGAGGCGGCGGTGTTCGTTCCATTTGGGCGCTCGGCATTTATTCGCTCGCTGATAAATTTTCGACTGGCTTGCAATTAATTTTGGCTCTTGACGAGCCCCAAAAGTGAAAGTCGTGAGTGAAAAGACGTGGCAGTTTTTTATATTAAAAAAAAGAAGAAAAATAAAACAAGCAATACTAAAAAAGATCAGACATGAACTGTGTACGCAAAACACGAAATGCGAAACGACGGCGGCTGCGGCGGCGGCAACAAGTTAATAAATTAACACAGCAAAACGAAGAAAAATCCAGATTCCGGGCTATAATGCAAAGAAAGCGGCGCAGCTAGTTTATTTTTATATATTAACGATTTCCCCGCGATTGGCATATAAAAATCAAATTTTAGGTGTGGTCTATTTCTTCCGTTCTGAATCCGAGAATTTCCTTATAAATCTAGCCTCTACTAGGCTTTGTCTGTGCATTCGAAATCCGATCAGACATAGCCTATAAGAGGTTAGGTGTACCAAGGCAAATGTGCAGCGAAAGGCGGAAAAGCTTGGCCACTGAAAATCATAAAAAATAAAATATGAAAATATAAATAATAGATAAAAATAATATAAAAATTACACAGATTATTTTTATGTAACTTTGTTGGAATGTTATTTCTTATAATAATAAAATTTCCTAATCTTAAAATCTCACTTAGATTTAATCTCATTTTATAAATAGTATGTATTATTGGCAAATTCTATATTTAAATATTTTAGGTTAGGTGCACTACTAAGCCGAATGCGCAGCAGAAAATGGAAACCGATTACAGCTTTAAATCCGGTGGAAGAGAGCAGAAGAAAGACCTGATAAGCGTGATACCCCCTCAACCATTTTCCCCCCCAACAATTTTAGCTCTTGTTTAATTTGGGAATCTCTTGTTTATTATGTTTTGCCTGCATTATTTATTAGTTAATAGCTTATTTTTGTATATTTTTCGAATAAAAAGGCGTTTCTGCAAAACTTTTTGATGAGTGTGTGCTTTTTTATGGGGGCTGATTGAGCGATGATTCGAGTCGAGTTGGCGACTGCGTTTCTATTTGTTCTCGGGTTTTGGCTGGGGTTTTGGATTACATTTGGATTATCGCGTACCAAAGGCGCCACTCGTCTCGTGAAACAGCTGGTAATTCGGTGGACTTGCACTGGTCTTTGGATATTTCAAATAAATATGCATAATCCTCAGTTAAATGCGACGCTTGGAAAACTTTACAAGGCTGACTAGGGTTTTATCTTTAGTCAATGAAAAAAATTAAAGATTTTTGCATAGCAACATGGTTTAATAATTGCTGAAGGCATATCAATTTAGAAATTTCATTGTAAACTTTTAATATTATACATTTTTTTTTTATTTTAACAAATTACTATTGCATATTCAGTGAAAGCGTTATTAATTTTATTAATTTTAATCGCTTCAAATTCGAATTATAAAAAAAAACGTAAAAAATTGCCTAATCAAGTTCTTTTAATTTTTTATTTAATTGTTTAATTTTAAAAATATTTTTAACGCCTGCACTGCTTTAAAAAGCTTATCTGTCGAGCTTTAGTTGAATGCTATATCACACGATCAGTGCACTACTTTGCCAAGCTATGTAAAGTAAAATGTTAGTATAAAAGTTATCTTTAATGTAAAATGAAGAATAAAAAACAAAAACATTATCTTAATTTTATTTTTAAATATTTTTTTTTTATAAATTAAATAATAATTAGCAAAAATGTAACTTAATTCGCTGCAAAAAAGTCTGACAGTAAAAGATCTTTATATCAAAAATATATATTTAATTATTTAAGTAAATCACTTATTTTTAGTCATTATTCTTTTAATCATTATTAAATGCAACTTTCAGAAATAGTTTTTTAACAATAATTTATCAAAAAATTACAAATCCTATCGTATTCCACAAAATATTACGCTTAACTTAAATTCTTCTACAAATTGTATATAAATCTCTTAAAAATAAATGGTTCCTATAACGAGAGCTTTTAAGCTCTGTGCTACGTGCTACTTCTTGAGGTTGATCTTCTCTTCAACCAAAAAAAAAAATTGAAATTGGAACGTCAATGGCAAGATGGATGTTCGTTCCTCAACTAGGAGGCTTGGAGCCTGAGCTAAACTCCCACAATTGGCAATTCATTGGCTTCTGCTGTTGTTGCCTTGGTTTATCTGCACCGGCTGCACATAAAACACGCTGGAAATGACTGAAAATGCGTTTCGAGACAGACAGTCTGAGCCATTCCGATGGATTTCTCACACATAAAATCCAAATACCGAAATCCCAAAGCCCAAAAATCGAAGACATTAACCGAAGGAAAAACAGATTGCAGTGCCAGCATCGTTCATGTCTTCCCTAATGGCCTGTACATGGCACTTGAGCACTCCAAGCCAGGCCGTATTTATGGCCTGGCACTCTACCATTTTACCCATTTTACCATAGGCACTGAGAGAAATTAGATACAAACATAATAGAGAGTATTAAATGGGGAAACTAATACAAATTGAAAACATTATATAAATAAAATAAGTAAATAAATAAATAAATAATTTGTGTAGAATCTTTTCAAATGTACCCTTAATTACTACATATTTTTCTTTGTGTAATCCGACTATTTTTCCAGCTGCCGGCGGCCGTGTCTGCTTATGCAATTGTGCAAGATGTGCGGCTCATCATCATGCCGGCCTGCAAGTACATGGGTTAACATTTAACCCACATCCCAGCTGATGGCTATTCCTGGTCTATTGGCCCCCGAGGGATGACCTTCCCCCATCCCTTGCTCGCTTACTTTGTGTGTCCGGAATGTGTCCAAATTTGTTGGGAGTTAATTGAGCGACACGCCCACCACGCCGACAAAACAAATCGTTGCAGTTAATTAAATTTAAGCATAAGCCAAAGCCAAAAAGAAAAACCCTGCTAGCGCAGCTACAAATAGCATCAACAGCGTTACCTATTCATTGCAGTAATAAATTGACCCACTTTCGAATCTGCAACCTGACCCAACTACAACATGGCAATGTAGAAAAACAACGAGCTGAAAAATAAAAAAAAATATATATAAATACAAATAAACATACAAAGCCCCAAAAGCAATTTTGGCTGTAAAATCGACAAGCGCCAAACAACAACAACAAACACAAACAACCAGCCAGCCAGCAGCAGCCGCAGCAGCAGCAAAGCAACAAAACAAACTCAACACTTTAGTGCAACAGTTTAGTGTCAGGCAAAACGAATGACTTAAGAAACGAACGCGAGCGACCCGACGACAGTTGTCCCTCGCCCAACCCTTCTCCTCTCCATCTCCTTGGGTCTCTCTCTCTCTCTCTCCCAGCCTGTCTGCACGTGAGTCGTCATCAGAGATGTCAGGTATGGTTAGGCCAAAATAAGTTTGAAATTTGCATGCCCATTTCCATAATTTATAAAAGTATTATAAAGTTTATTTATTGCTGTTTTTCATTCTTAAAGTTCTGACGTAAAACATGATTTCTTTTTTTTCTTAGTTTCAGATTTTGTGGTAAACAAATGAGTGGATCAACTCTATGAGCTGAGCTTACCATAAAATATTTCTAAAAAATTATTTAACTCTAATTTAATCTTTATAATGAATAATAAACCCAACTGTGCGCTTATTAGAGTTTAAAATTACTTTAAAAATAACCCTGAAACCAGAGTTCTTCATTACAAATAGTAAATATATAAAAGCCACTTCAAGTATACAAAAAAATGCCTTAAAAATACCTGCCAGGCGGTGAAGTGGAACGTTTTGCTTGCTGCTTTGAGCTGTAAAATGGCCAAATTCGCCACTCTGTTGCATTTGCAGGCTCATGTACATGTGTGTGAGTGTGTGTGTGCTCTTCTAAACAACCCAAGAAAATTAGTCTGAATTGGAATTTGAGTGGTTTAGTTAGTGCCTTAGTTAGTGGCAGTAGCGGCGCAGTAGCCAAGAGGGCGGGCAGTGGCAGACAGCGCCAGTTCAACTTCAGCTTTTGAGCGGCAATTGTTTGCCATCACCCAAGGTACCCCCAAGTCGGCGAATTGGGTAATTGACTTTATTGGCTGCTGCAGTCTGTTTTTTTTTTTTTTTTTTTTTTTTTAAAGCTGCTTAGGTAAATTGCAATACACTTTGCTGCAGACAGATTAGTTGCGGAAACGAGACTGATTGGGCAAGTGTGGATAGAATTAGTTTTTGCATTCGGCGAAAGGTGGTTAGCTGAGCGAATTGTGGGTGGAATGGTGGTGAATGGGCTGGGTTTTGGTTTAAATTTGATTAAATTGTAAGATTTATCTCCAAGAAACTCTGAAGTATACAAAAAACTACTTGAGTCACGACTGAAATGTGTAGAATTGGGTAATTTGACTAAGTAAATTGGTGCTCATTTTAATCACTTATGTTACTAAATGGGAGTTTAAATATTTAGTAATTATTTATATTTTTTAAAGTTGCTCTATTAAAACCAAGTTAAATTAAAATTATAGTCTTCTTAAGCTTTTCCTGATAAATGTAATATTTTGTTACTAATCTCTCAACTTTCAAAAATCCCCTATTTTATTTACTAAATCCCTTGTGATAATAAAAACAAGATAACTTAAAAACCAATTAACTTGAACCAATTGTTAGGAGATCGGTTCATTGCCAAAATCAGCGATTAAAAGCGTGAAAAAGACAAGACAAGACACTTTAGGCGATCGCAGAGCAATCGACCGGCGTCATGAACGAGCGGATTACGATCTCGTAGATATTCTGTCTGTGCTAACAATCTCTTGGCCACTCCACCAGTCAGCCACTCAGCCACTTGTCCAGTTTGAGCTTAAGCCAGGCTGCGACGAGATCCAGCGAGGCGGTCAGTTGGATTTCATGCTCTAGATAATAACATGCAGTTAGTGCGAGAGCGCTGGGCTGCCTGGCAACAAAGCGACTAAATACTAGTAGAAAAAATATATATAAATTAAAAACTTGATATATTTTTATTGACTTTCAACATTAAGCCGACGAATGGAATCCGTGTGGATTTAATTCGCCGAGTGGATTTGAAAAGCAATTCGAATGCGAGTCAGCCGTTAGTAATCCGAGTGGGGCGATAAAAACCCCAACTTCCATTGTCCGCAAGGTGTTAAATATTTGTTGTATAATCCCCGCTCTACACCAGAAAAGTAGAAAAAAAAAGACCAAGCATATACAACTTAAAAATCGATTAACATCAGCGTAATTATGGACATAATTTTGGGTGATCAAGTGTGGCAACAACAAGCGGAGTAAATGAAAGCGGTAAATGTCAAGAAATTAGCGCGAATATATACATATTTATATACCAGTATTTGTTAAACAATTAAGATATATATATGAATTTGGAATGTAAAAATGTTTAAATACCTTAAATACCAGTGACCAAAAGCAACCTTGAACTTGAAATGATTTAGGGACGACTTAAGCTCGCGTTTAACTTTCACTTTTTAATCAGATCAGATCTTCTGAAGGGTTTCTTGCATTTTAAACATTTTAACATATCACACTGGCTTTTTGTATCTTTGGGAGAAGGCAAACCAGGTGAGTTAACGCCTCGGATCGCAGACATTTCTTGGCGGTGCGTGTGCTGGTTGGACAAGGTCAACACCTTTCCTTTTCCTTTTCGGGTTTTACTGCCGCACCAGTTCGAGTATATTTATTGGAAATGAGCCAACTGGCGGGGCACTCGACTTTAATTGACCAAGTGCAGTGCGGCTAAGAGATACGAGATATTGCGCATATGTATATATTGCCACTTGTTAATTAAAATATTTGAAATAATTATATAAGCAAAGTCTGCTAATTACACCCGGCCCGACCGACAGTCGAGACTCAAGTGGGAGATATACAACCGAATGACAAAACGTTGGGCGCCATAATCAATCACGCGTCTATTCGTTGGCTCAGTTAGTTGGTCTTTTAATCACACACTTAATAGGTAATTAAATTGTTTGTTTTTTAAGGTATTGTTTGCCATATAAACTTTTATATACTCTTATATGTACAATTAGTAAATATAAAATATTGAATTGGCATAAGCTTAGCCCATCACTGGGTTACTGGCTTCTGACTGAAAAAGATAAATAGATAATTCGATTAACAAATAAGAGTTCTATTTTCTATATGTTCGCTGTATCCTTAATTGCAAACTAAGCTACAGTAATGAGTATCAGCCATAGCTGCTGTGACTTTGGGCTATTCTAATTCCTAAATTAAACAAAAACCTGCCAATCCTCGCTCATTATTTTCGGTTCATCAGCCAAGCCATATATAGTATCTTATCTTCTGCTTGATGGTCAATCAACTAGTAGGTGCTCAATTGGTCATTTAATGAGCTAATCAATCACTTGGCCAGTGACAGATTTTAGCTCTTTGAAGGTTTTTAACTGCGGATTGCATAGATATATATCAATGGCTGCCGTTGCACCTTTAATTAATCCAGTTTTAATGGATCGTCTTGCCTAAATTAGTTTGACATTTAAGCGAAAAGAGTTTCGCATCAAACGGCCGAATTTCGTGTCGGTATCATCGGATGCGGTGTTTTTGCCTGCGAATCCGTTGGCTGGTCATAAATTCGTTGTTCGCGCTCATCATAAATTGCTTTTTAAAGCCAAAAGACCAACCAACGGCAAATGCGAAAAGAGCAGCGTGCGATGCCTTTGGCATTCAAATGACCAGCCCACAGCTCAGCTGACTGACTTGGCCGAAAAACCCCCAAGATTTTTAACCCACACCCAGAAAAAATATTGCATTAAGAAACTTTAAGAAATTAAAATAGATTCTAAGTATATTTAAATTAAAAAGCTTAACGTTAAGGATTTTTCAGAGACTATTTTATGACTTTAGGTCATTTTTAGTATATAAATGAAGGTAGAATAGATGTTTTATATTTTATTTTATAAATAAATAAACTCCAATTTGGCAAAAAATAAACAAATTTGATTTAATATGTCCTTAAATATATGATTTTTATTTAATTAAAAGATGCCATTAGATTATTTAAACTACTTTAATATGGTTTAAAATTAAAAAATTGATTAATTTGAGTTACTTAGGTCTGAAATGATATATACAAATATTTTTAAAATAATTTTCTGATTTTAGAAAATGTCCCAGAATTTGTTATAATTATTTTTTTCATGGTGCACACTAAGATTCAGACAAGTGACTCCTCCGGTTAACCAGTTACCAGTTGAAACAGGCGGTCTCCTAATCAGACGTGTTTGATGAACTTGACGCGGAGTTAACAGCCAAATCAAAAACAAAAAAATACAAAAAACCAAAATTATAAAGAAACACTCGCACAGAAGATTCCCAAAAAGAAAAAAGTAGCGCTCACACACTCTGAAATGCCTCGAAAAAAAAAGAGAAGTGAATAAAACTAAAAGTTGTTCTCATGCTAATTTGATTTTATACATTTTTGTGGCTTTTGCTCGCCTTTATTTTATTTTAATTATGTTAATTAAAAACGAGAAAGGAAGGACAGCGGAGGTGGACACGACGAGACTCAGAATACACTTAAAATGGCCATTAAAAAACTTTGCTTTTAAAAAAGAGTATTTTATATATATGAATTCTATTAGAGTCTAACAATCCTTGATGACTACCAAAAGGGGGAAATATTTAGTAGATCTGAAAGTAATTTTAACATATTTTTTAGAGTAAGTGAGGTTTGGATAAGGAATAAATAATAAAGTTAATTAAAATAAGTATACGAAAGACTTCTGCAAGTATAATACTTTTAAAATTATAGAAAGTTTATTCATATATATGTATTTTTTAAATTTATTTAATATTAAAACCAAATCTCTTAAATAGTATTTCATTAAACCCCTTTGTCTTTGGTTTTTGATTAAACAAGAAAACCCTAATATAGAGTATGGAATAAGTCTATAAAAAATAAACAACATCCAGACCTGCGTCAGACACTCGGCAGATAGAACTAGTTAATCAGTATATTTCGCCCATGAACTTACCCACGATGAGTCTGAATTTTCAATGAACCGTGTTGTGTGTGCTTAATGTGTTGAACTCAACTCGGATCTCGGATCTCTTGGATCTTGGATCTGTGGGAAAGGTGGGCCAAAGTGGAACCAGTTGGCACTACTGAACCAGCAAATAAATACACCACACCTGGCGGCGGAGTCTGCGCTGCTCAAGCTCAACCTACCTCAATGGTAGCCAGCAGCCAGCAGCCAGCAGCCAAGCAGCTCTTTGGCTTCGATTGCCAATGCAGCGGATGTATCTTTGTATCTCTCAGATACTGCTACGCTCCTGAGCTGAGCTTGATCCGCGTATAAAACCAATTTGAGCAGCGGCCAGCGAACCAGTTGAGCGCTGACTTTGCAAACGTTTTCACGACCGTCTTCGTCTTCGATCGCGGTTCCAGGCCAAAAACCAAAACGTACATAATACACTTTAAGAAAAAGCGTGCAAAATATTGTGAAGCCTTTATAGGGGAATATTCTAAACACTTGGATTAAAAATCGCCCAGGAATTTGAATATCTTCTGAAGTTTAACAAAATAAAAGTGCTTTAAATGTACAGCAATCTTCTGGAATCAAAGAAAAAATATATAAATTGAATTTAAATTTAAAATCATAAGCTAACCACACCCTTCTTGTCTTAATTCCTTTACTGTTAAAATCAGTTCCGAATAACATTTAAAAATGTACTTAAAAATCAATGAATTCAAAACTAAAATAAGAAATAAAATACAGAGAATTATAGACACTTTTAACAACTAATTTCTGGTAATAATTACTTCTACAACCTTAAATACAAATTTAAGTTTCCCTTCCTAATTGTAAAAAAAATTGTATAATTTAAGGGCAATTTTTAATTCCAAGTGTAAACCGTAAGCTAACGAGGCCAACGCCAAATGCATTGGCCAAAAAGCGATACGGCAAACAAAACGGCAGCAAAACCAAAAAATAAAAACACTTTTCATTTCGCGCCTCTGTCTTTTAAGCTTTGCCTTTTCTCTGTGTTTTGTTTGATTTTTTGTTGTATTTTAAGTTTTGTGTTTGCTGCCTTTGTTTGGATGTGTTTGGCTCCGATTTTTTCTGGCTTTTTAGCCGTCAAGTGTTGGCCAGGTCTTTTGGGCCGTTTTATTCGTGCGACGAGCGCCCCAGCGAACGGTTGTTGCTTTGTCTTTGGCTTTGTAACTTTTTGTGTATTGTATCTCTGCATCCGACGGATACGCGATTTGAGCCGTGCGCGTGCTGTCTGTGTGTCTGTGTGTGCGTGTGAAGAAAGAGCCATATTTATATATATACATATATATAAAATATATATTGTTGTTGCAGCCGCACCGTAATAGCAATAGTTTTCCCAGTGTTTATTACATAAAAAATCAACGCCAAAATTATATTTATACACACAGGCTAGCGAGAAAATCTTATGCAAATGCGTTTTCAACAAAATAATTAAGCGGCCGCCTCAAGATTTGGCAAGAAAGTTGGCCAGTTTGCAGTGCTTCAGTGATTTCACGGATATTTCTTGGATATTTAACGCAGATTTGGATTAACCCAGCTCAGTACAAACTCTAAATCAAGGTAGGCCAGCCCCTTTACCGAGCAAAAATAAAATGAAATGCAGCCTGCAAAACGCTTATACAATTCGTGCTCCAAATTCGAGCTGAAATAAAATCAAGACACCTTACATAACGATCTGTTTGCCACGCACATAATGATGTATCGCTATCGGCGCCATTAGCATAATTCAATGCCTACCAAAAAACACGAAAAATCTGTCACAAATCGGAGCAATTTGCGTAAGCTTTAATGATATCTCCGAGAGGCTGTTGTGTTTTGTTTTTAGTTTCCTCCACTATGGGGAGATCGTTTAAACTTTGCCATTCAACAATTTAACAAAAACAATGGTGGGGTTAGCCACATGCGCCACATGAATATGCAAAAGAACAAGTAAACAACTCGCCCAGAGGGGGGGCCACCTGTCAGCCATTCTTCCCAGCTTCTCCACAGGAAAAAAAATCAATAAATAATTATTCTCCAAGAATTATACATTTTTGTATGTCTTGAGAAATATACAAACAATATTTCTTGATATTTTTGGTTTATAAATTAAAATAAAAATGTTTTCTGAACTTTATTTAAGCTTTAAAGGTTTAAAAATCTTAAAAGAATCCTAACAACTGCCCACAAAGTGTTTTCAATTCTTTGATCACTAAAAATCACAGAAAAAAACCCAAAATTTATGCTAAAACCCAAAATTTAAATTTATGTGTTAATATTGGCATAAATCTTGATAGCCATTTATGCATAATTCGTGTGTTATTCATGAAATTATTGAACACAAAATGAAAAATGTTAATAATTCAATACAGTCATTAATTTTAATGATACATTAGAATACTTATAATATATTTTGTGAGTGTCAAAACAATCTTGATAACACAATAAATAAGACAAGGAACGAAATTTTAACAAAATGAAGAAAGAATTGTTGTAAAGCAAGTTATTTTAGATATTTTATATATAGTTGCATTTAACTATAAACTTTTATCATAAAATTAGAAATATAAGACACATAAAAGTATATGCTGTTTCAGGAAACTGGAATTCCCAGAATAATCTTCGATACCACTAATTGCCTTGCTAACCAATATTTTAATAGATTTTAGTAGAACATTTTGGACGATTTGATAGTTTGACCTTATGTCTAAAATAAACACGTTTATTCTGAGACCACATATTAGTATTAATTTTATGCGATCAGTTCCATTTTATTCCAATTAGCAAGTTCTGTTTTGGCTTGGTTTTTTCTTAATCCTTGCTTGGCTCCTCCGATTACTGTTGGAATGCATGAATTCTTTGGTTAAATCGCATGAAAAATAAAAAATAAAGACAGTGAAGTCACTCGCATTTTCCATTCCAAAAGCTGCCATATGCAATCGATGACTTGGACAAAAATAACTTGTTGTTGGCGATTGTTGTTGCCTGCAGGTTGTTGGTGGTGGTGGTGGTGCTGCTGCTGCAGGTTAAATGCAACAGAAAAAACAGCAGCTGAGAGTGGATCGAGATTGAGAGTCACAGCAGCCACCCGCTTGTCTGAGCACTGACAAAAAAATAGTCTAAATTATTTAGATAATAAAACTATAAAGGTTCTTTACTGGAAAATAATGTTTGAATAATTGTAAATGACATAAAAGTAGATTTACCTTCTCTTTATCAAAATTTCTATTTAGGTTTTTGGGGAGTAATCAAAATATTTAATATCTTCTTATGTATATTAATGTTTTAAATAATAATAGAGTGAAAAACTAGTTACAGTTAAAGTAGTCTTAATTTATTTTCCGTGCATTTCTCTGCGCCGCATTCTTGGAAAATCTCAGCATTACCTGTGTGTGCGTTTTTTATCTCTTACCGCAGGGGGTGTTTTTATTTATTTCCCCGCCGCTTTTTTGTGTTGTGCACACCACACACACTAAATACATGTGTGTTTGTGCATCTCTGCGTTCAATTGCACATCAGCTTTGCAAAGTATCCGCACCCGCAGCTGTAATTTATTTGCATTGTTTAGCGCTGTACCGTTTTCTTCTCTGGCTGCAATAAAACTTAAAACAAAAACAAAAAAAGAAGGCGGCGATTTACATAAAATTTATTGCTGCCACATTACAAGTCAGTTAGTTAGTTAATGTTGCCCGCTGGCAACTCTGGCTGCTGTTTAATTGTGTGAAAAGTGTTTACTGCAAAACAACGTGTGTGGATTTGCTCAAGTGCCGGTCCCCGGCACATCACGTATACGACACGTGGCGAGCCTTGAACTCGACCAAAAGGGTTTCGTTTCGCAGCGCCTCAACTTCAATCCGGTTCGCCTTACTTTTGCAATTGAGAAATCAAACCAGAATCGATTCATCGACCAATCGCAGGCAAATGCCAATTGAAGTTGCTTCGAGAATATATACTATAAAGATTTTTTGGTTATAAAATTGACATCAAATCGAGCAAATAAATTATTCAATTTATGTTAAATAATTCTTTTAAATTATGGATTTACCGTTTGCGTCATGGAAAGCTTTTGCAAAGTGAGTGATCATAAATTGTTGGCCAAAAGTTTTGCAGAGCAACGGAACTAGTTATGCGAAATGAAAATAAATTGAGGTGTGTTTGCTTTGCCAGATAAATCTTAAATCACGAGATTTTTATTCAAAACAGAAAAGGAAATCAAAAGCAAGTTTAAACAACACTTTCGCTCTCTTGGAACATAGAGAACATTGATTAAATTATATGAAATTGCTAAGAAAAACCTCAGAACCCCTTAGTGTTTTATGAACTTGTTCTGTAACTTTACGAGAAGTCAGGTTAATTTTGGGAATCTCAAAATAAAACACAATACTTGTTATGAAAAAGAGTTTGGCATTCGAACTGGTTATGGGAAAATAAATAAGGAGCATGTAAATTAAGGTTTCTGGCTTCTATTTAAGACTTTGATTAAGAATAATAATAAATTCATTTTCTAAAAAGAAATTTATTTGATTAATGATTAGCAAAATAAATTCCCCTTACTACTAACTGTTTCTAATTTGATTTTATATCTACATCTTTTTTATTTTTCCCATAAATCACATAGCAAAAATCCCCCTTAAGGGGGTCTTCTCATTGGGCAACTTTTTTTTTTCTATTTTTTTTTTTTTGCATTTATTTATAGCTTGGGATGGTGTGTATATGTCCCCAAAAGGATTTTAAGAAATACTTTAGAAGATACAGCCTTTTTTGTGAAGTAAGATCTATGCAAAATGAGCTTTTTTCAAACTTCAAACGCGTTTATCTCGAAACCACGTTTTTCGAACTGGCGGCCATGATATCTCCAGTTCAACTGAACCGATTTTCATGAAACAAAGTGCAATCGACGCAGAATTGTCACCATTTTCGGCTGACGGAACAGATTTTTTTTTAAATTTTTTTTTCTATTTTTTTTTTTACACTAAACTACAAAAAAAAACGCCCGAAATCGAAATTTTTTTTTTGAATGGCCGCCATTTTGTTTAAAAAATTTAAAAAAAAAATCTGTTCCGTCAGCCGAAAATGACATCTATTCTGATTATAACCCCGTTTTTATTTTTCATTTCGGACGCTCTGGAAACCCTGAATCGTGGCCGCCAGGACGACACCTTTTTTTTCGACCACCAAGTTTGAAGTCTCATTACTCTTTGAACAACCCTCGTATCGAGGCAAGAACAACTTTTTTAGTTACTTTGAACATTTTTGAATACAATAAAAAAAAAAAGTTTTCTATTATTCTTTGCGTTTTCAAATAAGAATTTTTTTAAAAAGGGTCCAAAAAACAGCTTTTGAATGAGAAGACCCCCTTAAGAATCAATGTCAATAAGAGGCTTCCATCTATGTTTAACCGAATAACAAAGTTGATCTCAATATCACACCTCCTCTAGTGGCGGCTAGCGAACAAGTTCGACAAGTTTGCAGCTTAAGTTTTAATTCAAGATTTCAAAACGAAATAAATGTATAATAAATAGTATTTATAAGAAAAAAAAATGTCTTGGTGGTATTTCCGTGGCAACATCTAATGGTTTCTTTCGTCGGCTAGTTTGTCTTCGGTTTCCATGGGATGCAGGCCTAATCCCTCATCAAAGACAGCCAGCAGCCACGGGGCGAATTCGCACTACAAATTGGATGAGTTTGCGATCTGTTGAGGGTTGTTGTTTCTTGCGATCTCAGGGCAACAGCTTCAATGAGATGTTACCGTGGCGAATCTAAAAATACTCGCATCTCTCACACTGGATATATGTATCTTTGGCGAGATAACTGGAATATTTCTTCGGCATCATCCTCTGATGATGATGGCTGTGTTGCCCTTGTAACGATTGTTATTTCTGCTTAAGCACAAATGCCGATATGTTAATGACGGATGGACATCGGTCTGGGTCTTGGGGATCGAAAGATACCCGAAAATATATTATATATCGGTAGCTGATCGGCCTTTTGTTGCTGTTGTCAGGCATTGTCGGACATTCGGACATTTGCTGATGGCATTTAAATCACTGAATCGGCTATTTTTGTGATCGATCGATCGATCGATTGGTGGTACCTTGCCGCCGCATTTAATGGAATTTTAATTAATTATTAACAGCGACCTTTAAAGGCCGCTTTTCAGCTTTTCACTTCCCCAAAAAGCTTGATTTTTTGATGTTAACAATGGGATTTTATTTATTGAGATCAGCATTTTAAGTTATTTTCCTTCCTTCCCTGCCTAATTAATTACTTTTAAATTATATTTGCAAGCAATCACCTTTAAAATATCGTTTTTTAAGCCAAAACATTAAGCGGCAAGTGCATAAAAATTGTAATTAATTGGTTTATATTTTCCCGTTGTCAAACAAGTTGTTGTCGCCTAACTTTCTTTGAGCTTGACCATTGAAAATTGCATTTTCTTTCCGTTACCAAGTCCAAGCCGTGTTTCCTCTTTTATAGATCAATAAATTCATTATTCATTGGTCTGAACGGTTTCGGTTTCGGTTGAATCGAGAAAAATAAGTCATAAAAATATGGTCTCAAGCTGTCAAGCATTTTTATTG